GACAGAGAAGGGAAACCACCCTTATCTGTCACACAGAAACAATGAGGCGGAAGACAGGTTTAAAATGGGATCAGGCTAGTAGCCCAAAGGCATCTTCTTCTAACTTTCACTAATATACACGTAAAAGGCAGAAAACTTTGAAAACTCCCAATGCAGGAAACTATGACTGACGGTCAGGCAGAGACATGTTTTGCTCAGTCGCGTCACGTCTGACTCTTTGCGACCCCATGGACTGTAGCCCGCCAGACTCCTCTGTTCACAGAGGTTTTCCAAGCAAGAATACTGGAGCTCATTGCCATTTCCTCCTCCAAGGGATCTACCTGACCGAAGGATGGAACCTGGGTCTCCCGCACTGGCTGTTTACCACTAGCACCACCTGGAAAACGGGGTTGTTCAGAGGCTAAGTCGTGTCCTATTCTTTGCAACTCCATGGACTGTAGCCCGCCAGGCTCCTCTGTCCATGGAGTTCTCCTCACAAAATACTGGAGTGGGTTGCCATTCCCTTCTCCAGGAAGCCCTTTACCAGCTATCAAATCAACTCTATGAACGGCATTTTATCCCCTTTCCAATGCTATCCTTTAAGAAGAAAAATGTAGAATCCAGCCATTTGGGGTATCTGTAAATCAGGCAAAATGTCTCCTTGCTGTGACCATCTGCCTCTGTCTCCCATTCACCTGTTAGGGACGAGTTAATGTGGGCCCCTAAGCAGACTTCCCCTCGTGGGCTTTGCTGATCAAGTGCATGTCCAAAGCTGCGTGCATGAGCAGAGTGAAGCCTCAGGGTTTCCCTGGAGATAACCAGCTTGAACAACTCGGACTGAAAACCTTTTTTCAACCTCTGGTACCCAGAATGGTTAGAAAGCGGCCAGGAAAAGAGAGCCTTTCCTTTAGTTCAGCACCTGGTTCCTGCCCAGGTAAACCAGCATGAGCTCCGGGTTCAGAAGGCACGGCTTGAGGGGGAAGATGACAGAGGAGATCCTTAGGCCATGTGGGAGCAGCCCTGGGCCGTGCGGGAGAAGAGCTTTCCTTTTCGCTCTCCAGGTACAGCCGAAGTCCCTGACATTTACCCCTGGATGGAAACTTGGAGGATGTTTTTGGCTAGAATGGCCCTTCAGAGTCATCTAATTCAACTCTCTTACTTTAGGGATGAGAGAACAGAGGACCAGAGGCTGCCTGGCGACCGTGCTGGGAATAGGGTCCCCAGGCTGCTCCCTCTCCTCCCGGGTGCCAAGGGGTGACCGGATCTCTGCAGCTCTGAGCAGTGGCCGTGGTCACCCACTATGTCAGATCAAGGGCTCTGCCACCAGGGTGCCCTCTGCCCGTGATGATGCCCACACGCCCCACAGCTGGGGCTCCTGGCGACTGTTTTGTGAGAGATTTTCAAGTAGGCAAATACAACTACACTCCATGGGCCAACCGTGATGGCCGTCTTTCCTGAACCAGTCAGGGACAGGTGTTTCCAGCTCAAGCAGCTCTACCCTACCCTCGACCTGTCGGCCAACAAGCAGGCATGCCTGTGGCTCTGGGGCCACCACCTCCTTAAATTTCTGGCTTAAAGTGACACACGCCATGGGGTCTCTCCGCAGGTCTTTGTGGGAGCAGGGCTGGAGGAGAGGCCTTAATGTCTGGGAGGGAAGCCAGGGTCACCCTGAGAGTACACGCAGGAGGCCTGGCTGATCTCCTAAAAAAACTGGAAACAAGACGGACCTCCCAGCTCTCCCAGACTCTTTCCTGGCGCCATGCCTTCCTCAAGCAGGTTAGTCTCCCAAACCCTGACACTGAACTTGGCTGTGCTCCAACAATCCTTGAAATTGGCAGAAAAAACTTGCTGGCAGTTCCCTTCCTATAATAAAATCTGCCTCTGTGTGAATTTCCCCTCAAATCAGGATTTCTTACAAGCGAGGTCACCTCCTGATAACCAAATAGCTTGATGAAGAAATGTAGTTTTTAGCTGGGTGGAAAAACAGCACACCAAAGTTAAGTCTCTTTGTATACAGATCCTTTTTATTGAGGTTTATATAAGTAATTTATCAACAAAGAAAACCAGCGTGGCTGCCCCCCAAATGACCATGAAAAATGACGATACTAACCGACGGTGACACGCCATGCACGGGACAGGGGACCTCAGACCTGGCCCAGCATCTCACATGGGAAACGATTTCAGACCCGTCAACACACACTAAGAGGTGGCTGTCACCTCAGCTGGCACAACTGATGGGAAGAGAAAGCAAGCCAGATAACAGGTGCAATCTTTAGATTCATAATATCCAATTCACTGACCTCTTTTGGCATAGCGATGCATGAGAGAAAACGGATTTATTTCTTCAAAGGTGTTCCCCTTTGGCCACAAACAGAACAAATCTGTGACCATGGGGATGGTTATGCAGCAAGGGACACAAGGAGAGAGAAATGTCAGCGTGTGAGGACGGACCCCCTCACCCCTCACGGGGACCCATCTTCACTGTTTCACGTGGACCCCTCAAAGGTCTGCTCGAACATAAGACCTCTTGCAAAGTTTTAACGGTGGACAAGCCCATTTCCCAAATCATTTTGACTTGGCGAGATGGGAGGAGTCATGTTCAAAGGAGCTGCTCCCAGAAGTGCTGCTTTTAAACCCAGTCGGCTGTTTTCTGAAGAACGTGGAGGAAGAGGCTTCCGTTTAGGGCGCTGATGAATCAGGTGCTACAGTGAAATCTTGAGGCGACGGCAAGACTGGTTGGGGGATTTGGCACAAGAAGAGTCAGAAGTGACGCTCTGCAGGTAGACTTCAGCTCCTCAAGGCTGGCCATGCAAGTACCTACCTGCCCTGCCTGCTGGGGCCCCTACGCGCCGCTGTGAAATCTACATCATGAGGAGAGGACACCAACATGCTTTTCTCAAGTTCTTCTATGGTGGAGCTGGTCTAGAGGGACGCGTTCGGGGAACCTGTCCCCAAGCACAGGGCCTTCAGAAGAGGTAGATGAAAGCAGTACCTCACGGCAAGTTCACGGTCAGGTGTTACCCAAGAAGTGCACGTGCCTCTCGGCACAGGTCTGAGGGTTAAGCTGTTGTTGAAAAAAGTCTGCGGGCCATGAGAAGGGACGTCCGCCCCACACTGCTATAGGCTTCGCTTCAATTTTATTTTGTGAACAAAACAAAATGAAACAGAAAGGAGTGCGTTTTCTTAAATAACAAACTATACAAATAAAAAGGAGCAGAAGCAGTTAAGAAATGTTTTTGATGAGAACAAAGAGAGGGTTCAATAAATAATAAAAAATGCTTTTGTGCTAAAATAGAACTCTTGTTTATATATATATATATGTATATGTAGTTTGGCATCTTAATGTTACCCAGAAAAAAGCCACATTTGTTAGTTAAAACATAGAAAAATACAAACAATAAAACTTAAAAAAAATGGCCAGTGCTTAGCTTATAAACCATATATAAAATGTACATCATGGAATATATCAACTAAGAAACAAGAAGTTGAATTTCAAGTCCTTTGAAATATGAATACATGATTAGAAATATTTCTCCATTCCCTACCCTCACATGAGAGACATTTTATGTTAGGAAAAAAACTAAAATGGAAGCATAGTTATCAGTTTTTCAGAGATGATTTTGCAATTTCTTAGGTATAAGAGAGTTTACTGTAAGAACATGGGTTATTTAAGTCTAAAATGAAGAATTAAATTTTTCCTATATATGGTTTTGACGAATGCATATCCTGTTAATCCATTTTCTGTAACGTGCATTTTTTTTTTAATAAAGGCAATTTAAAATTTGGGGTGCTACATTTATCAGGAAGTGCTAACCCAGCCATGCCAGTGAAGTGGCCGGTCACTCGTGTCCCCATTGCCAGAGCTGAGCGTCTCTGTCACCCTTTTGTCAGAGAATGGCTCTCTTAAGTCTTCGAGGATGAAGGAATCTAAAGGCCATTATGATTCGAGGAAACCAAGAAGTATCATTTTAGAGTTCAACTTTCATTCATTCTACAGTAAATTTTTAAAAATGTGGCCTGGATACAAAAATTCTTATCAACATGAATTTAAATGATTAATTCTTTAAAGCTTCTCAAGTCAACCCAATGCAGGAGGAAAATCATGTTAGAACTTTAGAGGGAAAAAAAAAGTTCTGAGAAATTCAAACTGTTAGAGTGCACTGCGGCTGGCTCAAGCGGCACGCCTCGTGTCATCGTCGGGGAATCACAGTTAACTGCAGCGCTTCTGCGGCCCCGTCCCCACCCCACCTGCAGGGCAGGGCACTGAGAGCCACCCACACCGCCACTGGCCCCCTGCTTGGCTGCCAGGCACGCACAGCCAGACGGGCAGCAGCTCTGGGCTCCGTGGGCCTTCCCAGGACTGCTGGATGACAAACAGGGGCAACCTAACGTCCTGGTGGAAAGCGAACAGCCTATTCTAAGTCTAGCAACCCCACAGTCAGAGAGACCAAGTCTTACAGAGTTACTATTCAATTCCTCTTCTTCTAAGAGGAGGACAGCCCTGAAGCCCCAAGCTTAACTGTAACTTCCCTGGTCCTTGACGGTGTAGAGAGACGAGTTTTTACCAGCAAATAAACTCCTTTTTCTCTTTGCCCCACTCCTACCAGGACGTCTCAGGCTCTGTCACAGATCTGAATGAAGGCTGCCGACTCCTCCCTGCCATCCCCCGGCAGGCGAGGCGTTCACTTTCCAGGTATCTCTGAATGACACACATACATTTCCCTGAATGTAGGTGAGAAAAATTATAACTAATTAAATCACGCAAGAGAAGTTTTATCTTACACCGCCACATTGCACATTTTTAACAGATTTACGTCGAGCGAAAAAAGTCCAACTTTGAGAATTTCCTTTTCTTCTTGATGGGTTAAAATTTTGAAATATCCGAAAGGTCAATTCCACAGAAAAAGTCAAACGTTGTACTGGATTCACTAAACTATAAATTCCAAATGAAATTAAAAAAAAAAATCCTCGGGGGGTTGGGGGGGGGAACACACTTTGATCTTCAGAGTTAAACCACACTGTCAATTGGTCAATGACATTTTTTTAAAATGACCAGTGAGGGTCTTCAAACAATTGTTGCCAGGGTCTGTATGGAGTATTTCAAACTGCAAATCAAGGCGAAACATTGCTTTAAGAAGGTCGTTGTTTGTGGCTGTTGCTCTATTTACTACTCCAGCTTTGTTGCTGTCTTTCTTGAGCAGAATGCTATCTTTCTTCTCTTTACATACAGAACTTGAAGTTGTCGTGTCTGTGAATTGACCAGTTAGAGGCACAGGTAGTGAAACATTCTCATTAGCAGTGAAACAACAGCTGATTTCTAGCAGTTTTGCTGAAAAATCATACTTAAACATGACAGAGAGGGAAAAAACCATGAGCCCCAGTGACATAAGGGGATAAATGCACCAAGGAGAATGTTAACAAGCCAAAAAAAGAAATAAATAACCTCAGATTCTCCCAAGCTTCTAATTCATTTCATAGATGTCACACAGCAGCGTAATCAATTTTTAGGCTTTGCTTTAATGATTCCTTTGCTTTATGAAATCAAGACATTAACATAATTTTATAAAAATATCAGCTTCGATGATTTTCTTGAACATTAAAACATCCCAACCATATAAATCTAAAATAATGATAGTACTTGTGCTCAATTCTGTCCTTTTGAACGGTCCAAACGTAGTTACAGCCAAACATGAAGACCTAAAACAACCACGTATACCAAGTCTTCTAAAAACAACCGACTTCTTTGGCCATGTGGGTACCAAGTGCTGGCACAGAAGGGTCCCGGAAAGTCTTCCATCTGGCAGTAGAGACACGTACCCCATCAGAACGGCTGCATGAATGAGTTCAGGAGGAAGACTGGCCTCTCTGGGGCTGTCAAACTAGACCCCAACACAACCCAGGACCCACCCTAAAAAAGCCACTCATCCTAACCTCACAGAGTACTTTTAATAAGTGACATCCACGTGACACTTCTCAGCCCTGTCCTTATCCATCCATCTTGAGTTGAGGGAGTTTACTTGGAATAAATCTGAGGCAACAGAGCTCTCGGGGTGTTTCCAATTGATGTTTCTTTTCCAAAGGGAAGATGACCTTATGTTCTGGTCCAGAGCTTAAATGATGTTTTTCAGAGATGCAAACTGGCATAGCTGGTGCCCTGGGTATGCAATGTTGGGATGCTAAGCCCAGACCCCTGAGGAATTCATGTACCTTCTCCAAGAGAGGTTGCATCTCTACTCTGTCCGGCAGAGGCGCGAGGCTCAGCAATTTCTAAACTGTAATTTACTCATCTCTGAACCGTAAGTGCTGAGCACACACGAGCTTGCAACAGAGCCGCTACCACCACCAGTGACAGTGACAGACAATCGCTATGGGAAGATGTTCACTCGTCATGAAGTGCTTTTCCACCTCTGTTTTTTTGTTATTTCAACTTTTTTTTAAAAAAGGAATTTGAATACTCTTCTTCCCTTTTACATCAGGAGAATCCATGTAAATAGTAGGCCCCAACTTCTACACTGCAAACAGCAGAGAGCAGAACATGTATATTACATTCCAACTAGCAAGTGAGATAAATAGTAAACCTCGCAGTTTCTTTTCCATTTCTATGAAACAAAAGGCTCTTTCAGTAATTATCTTCCCAAACTCTCAAGATGTCATTTCGTTAAGAAGGACTGACTTTCCCAGTGAGCACGGCACACGAATGTAAACACAGAGATTTGGAACCACTAAAAATATCGAGGACAGGATACAGATAATTACGATGTCAAGTTATTTATATTGTGAGTAGTCGACTTGGAAACAGACAATGAAAGTGCACTAAGAATAGGACAAATATGTTGACTTTGAAAATTACTGTTATTATTTTTAGTCTGATGACACGGAGGACATCACTGGGAAACACACTGGGTTTTAGAACCCAGCACTTATTTGGGGCCTGACACCAACCCCGGGGAGAGGACGGCCACTGGGACAGCCATTGCTGTCACAGGATGGCCCATCCGGGCCTGGGATCACTAATGACAGTTGAACGACAGCACTAGTTCAACATACACAGTTAACCCTTTCTGGCACATTCATCTTCGGCATTCCTTTTTCAATAAAATTCATTTTAACTTATACTAAAATGTCAAACACAGTTTCTTTCCTTGACCCATTCATTACCGAGATGCTTCCTGAGGTCAGGCAGAGGGAACCAGAGGTGCTGGGTCACATGACCGCTTCTGTCCAAACCCAAGACAGGCGTCCCCCCAGGCGGTCCCGCGCACCCAGACATAGGAAAGTGCTGTGGACTTGGAGGGTTTTGAAAATAGCTATTGCCTTGAGATGTAAACTGCCACTGCCTCTCTTGTAGAGCCACTGTGAACCTTCTGAAGATCTGTGATCTGATGCCTCTGGTGTTGACTGCTCCCACACCCTCAGAGACGGGGGTGGGGTGGGGGGCAGGGTCCTTGATCCCCAGCTGCCTGAGCTCCCTGTCACAGGCAGGCTGGTACCCATGGGTGCAGCACCCATGGGGAGGGCCCAGGTGCAACCCTCTAAGAAAACCTCTGCAGCTTTCAAGCCTGGGAGAACAAGAGACACCCCCGGGGTGGTCTGCCATGCCCCCGTAGCACAGAGCAAAGACAGTCAAACCCAGGAGCGGCTGTTGATGGACAGAACGTGGCAGTGCAGGGCAATCTGAACAGCAGACTGCTCGATCCCATCTTAGCAAGTCTGAGATACGCTTGCTAGCAGATGTAAAAAGTGCCGTGATCAGTAGGGAGCATTTCAAGTTCTAGGTTCACCCATAACCAATAGAAACGTATGGCAAAGAAGGAGAATTTCATTTCTTCAGTAGTTTCGAGGACAGAGAGATGCGATGGTGGCAGAGGCCCTGAGGAGGGAGGAGGCACCCCCGAGCCTGACGGTGGTCACCACTCCTAGTAGAAGCATCTCGGAGTCCTGGCCCCAGCCCAGCCACAGAGCACCCCGGAGGGGAGCAACTCCGTCCCTCATCCTCACACTTTTCCCCAAGGCTGCACTCTGAGGACTGAGCAGCCCACGTGGACTGCCCGGAGGAGGTGCTTTCTCCTGGGACCCTCTCCATCGGTCAGGGGTTCAGAGGCCGTTGCTGTTCCTGTGGCAGAGAGGCGGCTTTGAGAGTTCCACGACGGCCGAGCGGGATTTGTTGAGGAACTTGGGGGCTCGCCGTAGCAGCCGCTGGGCCTCCGTGAATGTCTCTGTCAGCTCTTTCTTCCACTGCACAAACTCTGGGTCACTCTGAGGGCAAACACACGGAGGGGAGGAGCTGGGACAGTGTCACGACTCTGCTGACACGTGGAAGCCTCTGGCCAGTGCAGACGGCCTAGGAACACCCTACCCCAGGGAAAGCATACCCCATGTCCCTCCCCTAGGCCAGAGAGGAAGCGGGGAAGCACACAGAGACTTCCTCCAGGGGCCCCTCGCTCAGAGGAGGGACCACGCCCTTCAGAGGAGCCTCATACGGCCCCACTGGGAGACGTGCTGCCTTGACTTTGTAGAGCGATCACCTGTGATCTCTGATGTCTCACCACAACTTAAGTCTAGAAGATAAAATATGAGGAGTTGGCTTTTTTTGGCTGAGCTGCACAGCACATGGGATCTTAGTTCCCCAACAAGGGACTGAACCCGCGCCCCTGCAGTGGAAGCGTGGAGTCTTAACCACTGGACCACCAGGGAAGTTCCCAGGGAGGAGTTTTCACAAATTTAAGAAGCACCTTCGCATGTGTTATGATGTCATGAAGTAATTAAGCATATGTTTTACTATCAGCTATTGGTTTCTCTCTCTAAACATGCTCTCTCTTTACACATACACACACACCCCACACACACCCCCCACCCCAGCAGAAAAGTGTTGAAGTCACAAAATAAGCACATCTTTGTATCTGCTACTACTCTCTTTCTCTAAATATGCTCTTTTTTCACACCTCCACACCCTCCCTCAATACCTCAGGAGGTGAGTGTTCAGGAATTAAGTCTGAGCTACGACAGAACTTCGGGAAAGAATAATGGCATTTCCCTGCTCACAGTTACTTGGGGATCTTATGTTTATTTAAACATAAACCTCAATTTAAACATGCTTAAAGAGCAGAGCAAATCTGGGAAACTGTGGAACAAGTGCAATTTGAAGCCCCTATTAATTACTGGATGGTTTCCAGAGAGGGGGTAACCACGTTATTTCCTGTCCTTCCTCCTGTCATCTTCTAAGAACACTTCTTTTAAAATAATTGTTAATTTGCCGAAAACGTGTGTCTTCTGACTTTCTTGCTAAGTTTGTGAGTGATGAAGCATGGACTGAGAAAATGTTACATAAGCAGGCAGGCGTCTTTGCTGAACACTTACATGCCTGTTGTAACCTTCACCCCTGTGGAAAACACAAACGAAGACTCACCTCACACTGCAAGACAAACTGCTTCCCTCCTTTTATCCTCAACAAAATGCACTTTTTGTCTTTAATCTGAGTTTCTTCCACAGACACAATCTGTTCCATTGTCAGTAAATTTTGCTGTTGGTAAAAATAAAAGATGATGAGTTACTTCACTTATTATTGCGTGAATTTTTAAGTTAATAAATCATACTGAAAACTACCAGCTCAGATAAAGTAAAGGAAAAAAAAAAACAGCCATCTTTCTTTCTTTGATGATATTCTAGAAGTGGGAGAGAAACGACTACAAGGGAAATGTACAAACATTCAAAATATCTCAAAGAAAGCTGCAAAGGGAGAAATATCTCTATGAGGCAGAAAGCAAAGCTGTTCCCTCAGCACAGTACTGACGTGGGGATGAGTGTGGAGCACGCACCTCTCCGGCATCACACACTCCCCTGGATGCAGTCAATCCTGCTGTGAGGGAACAATGATGCGATACACATGATATGCAGGAGCCAGAGCGGTGGCACTGGCTTTGAACCCACAGCTCAGGAAACGTTTGGGCATGTTAGCTTGTAAGCAACTGCTATTCTGATCATATCGAAATGATGCTATAAACACAGGTGATGTGCTTAAAAGATGGTCCCTCTGGGTCCATGGCATCATTGCTTCTGGTAAATGCCACAGTGCCTCTGAGCACCTTACCATTTTATGTTTTTTGGGGTAAATACTCCAGGAATCCTAAATGAAAAACAACACCATCATAAACTCACATTTATTTTCTCCTGACTTAAACTTAACGAATCTACCCAAGCACATGACATAGCTTCATGAATCGACACTAAACATTCTCTTAAAACCAAGGTAATTTATCACATCCAATGGTAAGCAAAATAAGATTATCTTTTTTTAGTATTCGAATATTCTGAAAAGTGAAATAATCTCCTTTCAATGTGTACAACAGTGACTTACTAAGGCCACTCACTAACTGCAAATAAAGATTATATAATGATATATGTATGGATTAACACTAAAGTGTATTATAGAATTACATTCCGTAATGTAAAAAATACACATGTAATATTATATAAAATATAATTATTTACACACATTTTATATGTGTATTTTATATTACACAATATTTACTAGTACCTGAGTTATAACTGCGGATCCTCCCAAAGAGTTTTCTTAATCTCAACTCAGATCCTGGCTGCATTAATTTTTAGAAGATGACTTCTATGGCACTAGTAGTAGTGAGAAGATCCTGCTCATTTGTAAAGAACGTGGTCATACTCAGGCAGCAGTCACTCACAATTAAATGGCATCTTCACCAAGAGGGATTTGCAAAACCCATTCCAAAGCCGAATACACCAGGTGTGGGCTCACCACTGGTGGGCTCCACGCCCCAGGCAAGGGGAAGCCGTACTCCGATACACCAGCTACATTTTTCACAGTTGGGACCACTGTCCTGCTTATGATGGCCAACCTCCCCTCTCCAAGAGCAGAAACCCTTCCACCTGGGCCACTCCTTTCCAGGGACATGAGCCCCTGGCTCTTCACACAGCAGGCATCTAATAAATGCTGCCCAGCCTCCTACAAGTAATGGTGGGGATCGGAAATTTCTTTCTTCTCTTTCACAAACATTAGCCCTTGAAAGGACCTTACAGGGCTGCCATATCTGTCTTCCTGTCTAATTGGATGGAGCCCACTTCCCGTCTTCCAGATAGGTGCAGCAGGACAGGAGGGCCAGGTGCTCTGACCTAGGTGCCAAGCCTCTCGGGCTACACCAGTGACCTTGCTTCACCTGACCCCGACTCGGGAAGGCCTCATCACGGAGACAGGCAGGCCTTGGTCAGAATCACTCCTCACCCAAACCTGTCCCTGGGGCCAGACCTTCCCTCTCTAAGCCCTGGTTCTCTCTTTATAAGGGTTGGGCCTCTAAGGGTGCTAAGCAAATTAAATGTGTGTGTGGACAGCACCTGACCCAAGATAAATATGCAAAAACTGTAGTAGTTGTTACAATTCCTTTTCTTTTTTAATATTAATTTTTATTGGACTATAGTTTGCTTTATATTGTTACCATTTCCACGTCTCACCTCTTACAGATGAGGAAACTGAGGTTCAGTCAACAGAATGTGCTTCTGAGTCCCAGAGACACGAACAGTGTGTCTGAACACCTCTGACTCCAAAGTCCCAGTTTTTGTCCCCTTTTGGGATCCACCCAACCGCTCTCCAGCCTTCCGCAAACCTGCCTGCTCTGACTTCCCTGGATGGCACATTCTGTTTTCAAGGGGTACCAAATCTTTTCTTGCTTCAGAGGAGTCTGAGAGTATGAACATGAGAAATCTCACATACACAGGTTAGAGGAGACACACAGAGCAGGGAGAACTTTTACAAACACGCCAGCAACACAAGATCACCATGGAAACGTGCTCCGCCCACGCTGCAGACTTACTCGCGACTCGCCCTCTCCTCTCCACTCAAGTCTGTTCGGAAAGAGGTAAAAATAGCGGCGCTGCCACTGGGTCAGGAAAGGGTTCCCCAGCTTCAGCATGTACCCATGCATGATGCAGTCTCTTCCCAGGGCGTAATCTGAGGCACAGAACACAGCGGAGCGTTCAGCAGGGTTGGAAACAGAATGCCCTTAGGCTTCTCAGAAAAAAAGAATGACACGCTTTCTGGAAAAAGAACAAGTTGCGATAAAGAGAACAGTCCATAGAAATCATTACTTTTGCTTTTAAGCACATGAAAGAACAAACTTCTTCAGCTCTCTACTCACATATTAGATGGCTGTTTCTCCATATTCTGATAAATTCAAGATGCTCCTCTATCACTCTGAGTGGGTAAAAGCTTGTCTGCTAGCTACTTTTTTCATTATGCAGGGTGACAGTTGGAGAACAGAGGGTGATTATACTGTGCCTAAAGTACCTTTGCTTTTACATGGCATTGGGGTTCTCCCTTTAACGGTCTATTAAAAAGAACAGCAGAGAGGCGTTTTTGTCCAAAGAAACCAAAGTAACACAAGGATCAAAACTATTCTTTCTTCCACTCAAGGTTATAATTACCCTTCGAACATGTGGTTATGTAGAGAGACCAAGCTAATTCGGGCTCATGCCAAGTTCTGATTACATTTTTACAGCAAAGTATTGTCTTGAAAAAAAGGTCAGTTTTAAGTAGCTTGCTTTGCCTTCCTTAGAGGCTTTGGTGATCACACTTAAAGCATTCATTCATTCATTCATCACTCACTCAGTCATTCAGCTATGAAGGGAATGGATGCGTAGGTGCTGGGCACAGCGGTGAATAAAAGAGACAAAAGTCCTCGCCTTCAGGGAGCTAACACTCTTAGTTGGAGATTCATGTAATAAATAAGCAAAACCCATGCTGTATCACATGGACAAAAGCAGGAAAGGGGTAAGTGAAAGAGGGCATGGCCGGAGGAGGGTTCGTGGTGATGAGGTACGGTTCATGGAGTTGCCAGTTTAATGGAAAAGGTGTCTGAACTTCTCAAGTATACTTAAAGTGTAAGTCTTCTATTTTCACTTCAGAGATCTAAGCCTAGACTGTATTTTTGTGTAAGGGTGACCTCTGAAATATTCAACCAAGATCTAGTTATATCAAAATTACTTACATATATTTGAAGATAAATTTATTGTTCTGCTAGATGTTCTAACTGCAGCTCTAGTTAAAAGGCTACACTTCAACAAGGTCATTAAAATATATATTTTTGTTTTCTGGGTTCAATCTGCCAAGATTCTAGTGACATCACAGGTCTCCCTTGAGCAAACTACTGAGGCTGCAATTTCCTGTGTAAAATCCATCCCAGCAAAAGTGGTCGATAGTGATCTCAGCGGCCCCACTTCTCTAAAGAGCAGCTTAGAAATAAAGCCCCTTCCCCTGCAGAGTAGAGGTGAGCAAGGGTAAAGGGCTGCCATGCTCCCTCGGTGCAACTCAGGTGACTTTCAGCCAAGCAGTCATTCATCCTGGGATGGAGGACACTTTTCTAAGTAGGTGATAAATGCTACTAGGAACAGCCGACAAGACCCAGGAACCCTGCATCAAGATGCCCCAACCAAGGCAAGCTGTTCATAGATTGAAATGATTTCTGATCATTCTTACTATATGTTAACCTCAGGAAGGTCTTTGCTTAGAAGTAAAACCAAAGATATCTTAATCACTAACCACAACAAGTTTAAATCCAAAATCCATAAAGTCTTAGAAAAATCAAGACTGACAATATTTGGTGAATCAAAAATGACCAGTTTATTTAATACTGGATGTGATGTATTTTCCTTTGGAAATCCTAGTAGGTCACTCAAACATGGCCAATAACACTATGGCTTGGTGACTCTTTAATGCTGTTTGTAATATGTATATACTCGTACCTCTGGACAATAAACATGTCTAATAATAAACATGTCTAATTAAACATGTCTAATAAGCATCTCACATGTGGTGAGGCTAAGCTCCTCACTACCCTTTTCGGGGCCCAGTGGAAAATGAACATGCAGGTTCCTTGTTAAAAAATTACTGAGAACGTCAGGACGGTGCCAGCAGAGTATTAGCCGGGGGTGGGGGGTGGGGCCGGGGGCAGGCCTGAGGACGCCACATGGGCAGACGCCGGTGAAGCGGGCCCTGCTCCCGACACCATCGTACTTACTCTTTAAAGGAAAAAAGCTTCCAAATCGGCTCTAAAACACTCCAAGATAAGAAGGCAAGAGTACTGACAAAATACTGCTGACAACCCCCATACATATTACATGTGTGTGGACTACAGACTTTGAAATATCAAGAATATACATATTTACATATGCACGTGTAACTGAATCACTTTGCTGTGTTCCTGAAACTAACACAATGTTGTAAATCAACTATATTTCAATAAAAATTAAAAAATAAATAAAATAGATAAAGACAAATGACTCTGCAACATCATTTCATGCTGAACACTCCCAGGCCAGGTAAAATTCAAACAACTGATGGCATTCCCCTCCCCCTCCCACCACTGGAAAGGACTTTATGACCCAGATACCATTTTCTGCTTTACCAGAGATCTTGGAAATCTATCGTATTAGAAATATCTTGAGACACACCGGCTATTTTACCTTCTTCGTGGCCAAGCTGCTTATTTTTAGCTCTCTTCCTGGCCTCGGTTTTATCCGTGTCTGCATTCACTGCTTCATAAACCGTTTCTGCCACTTCCTGCTGCCAGCGCTCAGAGATCACCAGAGGGAAGTTCTTGTAGAGTTCTTGGTCGCAATCAAGAAGCTTGTTATTTTAAGAAATCAAGACATGTATGATTTGACATGCTTACAAAGGCAACAGATTCCAAAGCACCGTAACTGTATGTGGGAAGATAATGAGGCGACAGGCTATAACCATTAGGAGACTACTTCTCAGCTGTCATAAACCTCTGCTGACGACCGTCGAGCAGTCAGGCGTATACTATACAACACAGAGAACATAGCCAGTGTTTCATAAGGACCGCAAACGGAGTAGAACCTTTCAAAACTGTGAATCACTAGTAAGTTATATAATATTGTACATCAACTATACTTCAATAAAGTTTTTCTTAAAAAAAGAAAAACTAAACAAAGGACAATCCAACAACCGGGGTCCTCCACAGGGTGATATATGATAAGGACACTTCACTTCCAACCCTGTGTCAGTCAGATTCAGGCCAATCTTCTACAGCATCCTTACTTTGTTTTTGCCAATGAAAAATTAACATATACAGGGTTTTCTTTAAAGTACTACAAGAATCTGGCAATAAAAGAAAATTTCAATTATAGTGAGGCTATTCTATTTGTGGGAGTTCCAGGGGGCAATAAAGCTAAAGAATCCAGCTGCCAATGCAAGAGATGCGAGTCAGATCCCTGGGTTGGGAAGATCCCTTGGAGAAGGAAATGACAACCACTCTCATATTCTTGCCTGGGAAATCCCACAGACAGAGGAGCCTGGTGGGCTACAGTCCATGGGGTCACAAAGAGTGGGACACGACTAAGGGACTCAGCACGCACACACTTTTTATTTATAAAAACAGGAAAACAGATCTCTGTGATTTTAGAGACATCAACCAGGGAGAACCCAGGAGGGCCCGCTGCTCTCTACCCACCCTCCATTAATCTGGAAAGTGAGAAATACAGAAAGGTCAACCAGGCTGAATTTACCGTTCAACCCATGAACCTTCCAACAAATCCACATTGAACAGCAGGATTAATCTCAAGACACGTGAAGCGTTTAGGCAACTTGGCCTTTTAGAGGCGCTATGATAAAAATTACATGTAATGACAACATCTCTCTGCCAAACTATTACTCAAGAGTTCTTCGTTCTTCCCCCTAAGTGAGGCTGTGCTCTGAAAGCGAGCTGAGAAAATGCTTTTTCATATCTGAGCTACAGTTTTGTGGCAGAAAGATAAGCGATCCTACTGATAGAAAATAATAGGCCTGTCTCTCAAAAGTACAGCTCTTTCTAGAAGCTTGACTCACTCACTCCCTTGCCTGAGAGGTGAGCATGGGAGAGATATTACTATAGGCAAGTCACTTAGAAGGAAAATGGAGAAAGACTGAGGGTGAGGCTCTGGCCCATAGGCCTTTGGCGCATCCCTAAACCACTGAACCACTGGACGAACCTGCATCTAGGTCCCAACGGGGATGCTCTCCACCCACCCTTATTGATCTGTTACCCAAAAGTAAAGATTTCTGAGGTCAAAATGTGTACTGTTTTTCTCCTTTCTGCTCTCTTCAGATGCCCAAACCAAGCTAGGTGCTGACCTTTTGGGTGTTCTGAGTGTGAACACGTGTGTGTGTGTGTGTGTGTGTGTGTGTGTAGTGGAGTGTCAGAGCATCAAGGCTGGGTTAGCACCCTGGGATAACACTGGGACAGATTCTGGAGTCTGGCGAAAGTGAAAATACCCTCCTTTCCCAAGCAGTTGCTCCGAAACGGATGTCTCTGCTTTATGTATAAAGGGTTCCAGCTCCTGTAAGACCAGAGAGCCTTGGTCTCTGTGACTCAGCCTATGTGAAAAATGCATAAAACAAAGCCCTAGCAGAAGTGAGCTGTTTTTCCTTAAAGACGATGTGCCATTTCGGCTGCTTTTTAAGAGACACAGTCTTCTCAGCTCTGGCTCAGAAGAAGCAAAACCAGTCCAACAACAGGTCTCAGCGCACCAGCCAGGAGGCGGACACAGATGACCCAACCCCAGAGGGGGCCTGGCAATGAAACCGCTCACTTCATGGGGGAGAAAACCAGCGCTCCTGAGGCTCCCGCAACAGCCCTGGCTCACTCTAGTAATAAGTGAGGGTCTGAGCCCAGCCTGTCTGACTCCAAAGGCCAGGCTACAGCTGACAAAACGAAAAGCATGAGAATCCCCTTTGAATACTAAAAATTTCATGGGCTCCCATGTGATATTCACTTTCTTTTAGTGTCCTTTGCTGGAGAGAAGCATGTCTGATGACAGAACTCTTCTGTGACAGCAGTGATCCTTTGAGATAACTCTGTAAAGGGGCTGTTTCCGAAGCTGCAGGGTGGTAGTTACACCCCGACAAGTCCTGTCATCCAGGCCACAGGAGATGCCGAGCCTCTGGGCAGTGGTCGGCTGTTATCCCCAGGGGAGCCAAGGCTCCAACCAGGGAAGCGGCCGTGGCCCTCTCTGCTGGGCTGCCCCTGAGCTCCTCCGCCACCCTCCATCCTGAGAAACTGACCCCACGAGCACACCAATCACATTTATAGCTGGCTGCCTGGGAGGAGAGACCAGGAGGCTGACACAAGGCCAGGAACGCAGGCCGCTGAGAAGACACGGCGGCCGGGCGGGGGCGGCTCTCAGAGGTTTGTGGTGGTGGTGGTGGGGAGACTCGGGGGGAAGCTGAGAAAGTGGGAGCAGTGAGAACTTGACATGCAGTGACACGCTTTGACTCAGAAGCCGAAAGAGGGCGACTTTATCTCGTGACTCATCATCTCTAAATATGCCCTTGTCTACTTGGAAAACAATGATAGGAACCAAAGTTTGAAAAATGCAGAGGATGCTATATGTACAAAAAACAGTGATTATTTCACTTTTGATTGACAAGTGTGAAATGATTCATGCTGTTTGCCCTTTTCATCCTAACACAGAGAGACTGGGAAATTTGGGAGAATTAAGACGGCTGGCTCTCTGGCTTGAAGCCAGGTAATGTTTGCCATCACATGGTTGTTTCTCCTCCTTCATAATACATCTGAGTTTTCTATTAACCACCAATCTATCCAAATCAATAACAATGTGATTATTTTTCAGTTTATCAAACAGGAAATGGGTGGTCAAAGAAAGCTCTCCTACAGGAGGGACTTCCACAACGGTCCAGTTGTTAAGAATTCGCCTTCCAATGCAGAGGATGTAGGTTCCATCCCTGGTCTGGGAACTGAAATCCCACATGCCACAGTGCTACTGAGCCCGCACACTGCTAACTAGAGAGAAGCCCATATGCTGCAACTAAGACCTGACTAAATAATCAAAAAAAAAAAAAAAAAAAGCTTTTGTAGTCTCTAATTCAGGTCTTCATTTCTTCTACATTCATCAAACACGTGGATATTCATTTGTAAGTTACAATCCAACACAAACAGGCCAGTACTAAGACAGTTATGAAGTCTGATTTCAAAAAGAAAGAAAGAAAAAAAAAATCCCCCTCCTACAATCTAGCCTCACAAGTGTACCTTTATGCCTTTGGTATCCTCTTCATCAAATGAGCCAATGTCAAAGGCGTCGGCTGCATTGACTTCCCCTCGGGGAGGGATCAAGGGTGGAGGGTACTGGAAGAGCCGGAGAAGAAGGGTTCGGTTACTGGGGGACTGGGCCATAGGCCCAGCCCACTATCCTATGAAGAGTTTGCTGTGAAAGACATCAAGGTGCCACAGTCTGTGTACCACTCATTCAAGCTCACACAATCACAGTACAAGGTTCACAAAGGCCCCCAAAGGAGATGCACCCTCCACGATCCAGTTGCTAGAGGCTGAACGCCTGCAACAGGGCAGGAGGGGTGTCCCACACTCAAAAACGCCCTGAGGATGATGCTGGCCGAACCAGAGCCCGGACTCTAGGTCTAAACAGGCAGGACTAATAGAGCATCAGTCCTCAAGTGAGTCTGTACATAAAAGAGTCCAAAGCTGATCATCAACAATGAGAAAAAGGAAAACAACAACTTTAATTTGGGGTGTTTTACTGTATCAGAGAGAACATTAAAAAATATCTTACAATAAGCCAAGGAGCTCATGCTGCTACCCAATCATGCTAATTCTTAAATTATGTGGGGCTCGGCTTGAAAGTATCTATAAGTGTATGACGTTTCCTGCATATTTTTTACATGTAAACGAAGAGGAAGAAGTGGTCCCAAAGAGAATGAGCTAGGAGGCAGTGCTTGGATAGAAGAGCAAGAAGCTGGGCTGTGGATGGGAGAGCTGGGGGCGAACTTGGGACAGAGCCAGGATGCAGAGATGCAGACAAAGATGCAGCTGGAGAGAGTGTCGGGGCTGGTACCGGAGCGGGGTCCCAGCAGGAGTACCTTCTGCAGGTAGACATGCTGCCAGTCGATGCCTCTGAAGAAGTCGTGCGTTTTTAGCTCCTGTGCGCTGCGGGAGAGACAGAATCACAGCAGCAGTAAGTATGCATTAGGAAAACTAAGAAATGGTTCACAAGCGTCATCTCCTGTTAAGGACACACAGCAACAACTATTTTCAGTTCTTTAAGACAGCAGATAAAATATGCTTTTTTCCAACCACTCAGGAAACACTGTGATGTTTAGCAACGCTTCACGCTGAGCTTAGGAATATGATCCCATATAATCAGTTACGGGGGATGCTTACCTCGGCCTAAGATGACCTAGGGTTTTTGCGGACTATCTCTGTGTCTGCAACTGTGAGAACAAATTTAACTAGGAATTGAGTTAGAGCGATCTACATGTTAAAGAGATTTACAGCAAAGGTCTACAAGTCCTGTAGATTAGATAACAGAGATACAAAGCAACAAGTACTAATTTCGAAGCAAACTACACATCTAACAGAATGGTGCATGCCAAACCCCCTCATAAACTGAAGAAAACAGTTTTTCCCAAAGAGCACTGCTGCTTAAGCTCAGTTCACTTGGAACAGAAGGGGTTGCAGACTCTAAGGAACACATACCCGTCAAGACACACAGCTCCTACATGATCCTCCCCTACCCACCCTGAACTGAAATGGCAGATTCTTGATACATTGAAAGGAACTGAACTGCTTCCTGTGGGGAGATGCTGAAACACAGAAACATCGGCCTACCCGCCTCCGTGGCAGCCAAGGCGCTTACTGACGTCTCGCTGAAGCAGGCCTTCCAGAAGGGACTTGAGCTCGGGGGAGAAGACATCTGGAAGTTCCACGTTCTGGGGGTGGGAGGAGGGGGACACGACTTCAAAAACGCATCTGTGGAAACACTGCCCTCACCCTCGACCAGATTTAAAGGCCATTTCTTCCATAAGGATAGTGTTAAAGAAAACTGCAGATACATCACAAGTTAACATTGACTCTATAAAGAAATGCAGGGCGGTTACTCATCACTTTGAGAGTCAATCAACAGGCTGGAGCCAGAAGAATTGGGTTTCCTCCCTCTTTTGCATCTCAGTCATTTTGCCTTTTTTTTTTTCTTTAGTTTTGGTCTTGATTTTTCTGTATCTTTCTCTTACTGTCTGTTAGCAAATCTTGTTATCTGCCTTGGCATCTATTTCCATTATTTTAAGAAAGCATATTTTTTTTTACACTAGTTGTAATGGAATGAGATAGGAAAATTACAATGAGAATAAAAACAGATTTTGACTTTCTTACCATGGTGAGAGTCATTCGGTCTATCTCATGCTTATCTTTGGTTTTATGTTGTCTGAAAGGGCTGTGACTGTAGAAACAAAGAAAATTCTATTACTAGATGGTTTTGGGTAACAGCAAATACTGTTGACTAATACGACAAACTATTATGTTCCGTCACTGCTCATTCAAAACTGCAGGAATACAAAAGCCATAAACATAGACCATTTCTAGAGGAAACCTGATGATCAGGTTGACAATCAGACATATTAGGTCCTGAACGAGCAAAGCTGATGTTTACTTGAACTCTTGATACTCATGTCAGTGAAGTCATGCTACCAGAATAAACTTTAGCAAATACATTCCAAATGACAATTTAAAATATCACTTGGAAAAAAAAATCAGCCAACAGGTTTTTATGAAAATGATAGTCATACACATGACATCTGTCACATTAGCATTTGAGATAATAGTAATGTTCACACAGGTTTTTTTAGAAAAAAATGGATAAGTCCCTCAAACAATGCAAAGAACTGCAGTAGAACCAAAACACAAAATGAACACACTCCCCCACCCCAGAACCCAGTAATTGTAAGAAATACATTCCTTTGGTGATAAGAGGTACAAACCAACCCTGTGCTCCCAGACCCTCCAGGGTTCTGAGAACTGCTCACTCATGTTCTATCTAACTTACAAATGACTCCAGATCTAAGAGTCAGAGACACTGGGCTCACGTTGTGACTTGGCTATTGGCCGTGAGTCATTCATGGAAACCTCGTCTCAGTCCCTTCACCTCTGCATGGCATAATACCACAAACATCACTGAAACAGTGAAAGGAACGACTGAAATAATGCATATGCTAGCAGCTAAGACAATGGGAGGATACGGTGGGTAACTGATAGACATGAGACAAATGAATCTAACTCTACAAAATAAATGTCTCCTTGTAAAGATATTACTCTTACTCTTGATTATGTTTTTAAAATGCTGAAGCTAAAGTTAATCTTACACATCACTCACACATGACTCTAAAATACAACACAAATGAACTTGTCTACGAAACAGAAACAGGCTCACAGACCTAGAGAACAGACTGGTGATTGCCAAGGTGGAGGGGGGCTGAGGAGAGGGATGGATTGGGAGGTTGGCATTATAGCTGTCAACTATCATATACAGGATGGATCAACGACAAGGTCCTACTGTACAGCACAGGGAACTATCATCAATATCCCATGATAAACCATAATGGAAAAGAACAGAAGAAAACACACAAATACATGTATAACTGAATCACTCAGCTGTACAGTAGAAATTAGCATAATACTATAAATCAACTATGCTTCAATAAAATATTTTTTAAAATAAAGATGCTCCTAGCATCAAAAGAGACTAGTAAACATACAAACTAGAAAACCCTGGCCTTATTTACTTACTTGAAAATTAAAGAAGGGACATACATGATAGGATTTTCTGGTAGTAAAGACATGTCTGTAAAATGAGCAATCCTACAGATTTATTTGGGCCTTCTCCGGAGGCTCAGACAGTAAAGAATCTGCCTGCAATGCAGAAGACCTTGGTTCTACCCCTGGGTTGGGAAGATCTCCTGAAGAAGAGAATGGCAGCATTCTTGCCTGGAGAATTCCATGGACAGAGGAGTCTGCTGGGCTACAGTCCACAGGGTTGTGAAGAATCAGATACACCTGGGCAACTAACACTTTGACTTTTCACTTTCATAGGTTTATTGATAAGGCATATAAAACATAAGTTGAGGCAAGATATTACACAAAATAGTTCTATAAAACAGAGTAGAATGTTGAATCTATAACTCAATGTGATTTAGGAAAAAAAACTAATTAAAACTGCACCCACCCTTGCAATCAACTTACTGCTACTAAATTAGGTAAACTATGCACTGTACCATCTCTTGAAGAGATGATTCCACTTCAGAGTATTTATTATTTAAATATTTCAATTTTCACTTTGCACGAGAGGGGGCACTCTAATGCTTATTTTCTTTCTTATGCAATGAAAAACACATTAATTTCCATCTCTTGAAAGCCTTAATTTGGGGAAAAAAAAAAATCTAAATAAGGTGAATCAGTACCAAGCAAGCATACACTAATCTTTCAAACAGATTTTGATTGGAAATATTCTTTGCACCCTAAATGTTTCCAAGGAGAAAAAAATGTAAAATTACTGCAGTTAAAAAGCAAATGGGATAGAATAACAAATAATAATGTTATTTACGAGACATTATAATTTTTCAAAACTTGACTTGTATCGCTTTCTCTTTCAGATTTATTTTTGGCAGTACTAGGTCTCTGCTGCTGGGTGGACTTTCTCCAGTTGTGACGAGCGGGGGCTGCTCTCTAATTGCGGTGCGCGGGCTTCTCGTTGCAGTGGCTTCTCTAGGCCACTCTAGGTGCGTGGGCTTAGTTACCCCGCTGCATGTGGGATCTTAGTTCCCTGACCAGGGATTGAACGTGTGTCCCCTGCAGGCAAATTCTTAACCCCTGGACCATCAGGTAAGCCCCGGCTTGTATCACTCCTGCATGCAAAACACGGAGATATGAACATGTTCATGGCTCAAGAGAAAAGGAGCACAGACTTCTCAGTGCTTACTAAGGCCTCAGTCCGTCTGCACGAGACACTGCTGCCACTCCCCAGGGGAGTTCCTTCACATGTAAAAGAGGGTGTGGGAAGGTCTCCCCTGTTTCGGCAAATCCTCCTGCTCTGGCTCCTGTGTGAAAAGCCAGGGCACCCCCTCCTGCTCTCGACCCTTGTGTGATGCCGGAAGCAGAGGGCTGTGCCCCACACTTGCAGAGAAGGACGGCTGTGTTCTGAAGGGATGCTCTGTGCTAAATTTAAAAACTCTTTCATGAGACCCGAGGGAGGGCTTTGCGAGGGGACTGGAGTTAAAGTTAGTGGTGCCAAAAACATTCCCAGCACATGCGCATGGTCGCTACAAACCCTGTTTGATAAATATAGCTCTCTGTGTCTGACTCAGTAAGAGACGATCGGAAATGCTTGTCGGCTCTCGGGCTCTGGGGTGTCGTGGAGGGTGGTTTGGTCTTTCTCCACCTCCTCTTGAGGTGGAGAGGGTTTGGTCTTTCAAGTCCTGATGCGCATCTGTTTCCAATGGTTCTTGATTATTCTTTGTGAACAAAACCCAAGATTCCATTTCTATTTTGGAAAATGTTAAAGAAAATCTCCAATAGTAATGATCTCCATTCTGAGGGAGGCACATGGGGCCCGCAGATCCTGTGTGATCACAGCTGCTCCCGGACGCAGCCGCTTTAAATAGGAGATGGTAAAGGGTCTGTCAACAGCTTTCGACACCAGCCAAGCCCTCATGCAACATTTGGGCTGCGTCGAAGGACGTTGTGGAAATAGGATTTACATGTGCAGTGGTCAGATGTGGCGTTGGAATTACAGAGAGTGCGAGAGCTGAGAATTTCACCCAGATGAGTTGGGAAATTGTTCAAGACATGACAAATGATGGGGAAACATACAGAGACACACACAAATGACACATCACATTCAGAGTGAAACCGGAGCTCAGAAACAATCCATTTATAAACACAAGTGATTAAAAAATCTTACATCAAAAATTAATTTTAGAATACCAAAAAGACGGCATGCAACATCAAATGTGAGTTTTGAACCTAAGCCAACAGCTGCCAAAATATTTATAAACATTCCTTTTTTCCCGAGAGGAGCAAACTCAGTAACCTCAGACAGAGCTCCGCTCTCCCCAGACCACCCCCTGGGGCTCTCCCCTCGTGTCTGACCATCAGTGGGGACAAGTTTAAGATCAAGGCTATGGTCACACCAATTGTTTCTCTTAACAGATATCTGAACTCTAGCTTGAGGGTCATGACCACAATTCCGCATAATTGCAACATCTTTGTACACAGATGCTCTCCCATATCTGATACTCAGCTGAAGTGGAAGCAGTGACCCCCCCCCCAACACATGGTCCAGGGACGCAAACACACTCTCCAGTCTTGTCGTCATCCTCACATCCAGGTTCCTGTCTCTTGTACCCTGCAGAATCCTTCGAGGGTGTCACGACAGAACGAAAGGTGCAGAGAAATGTTTCAGCCAAGGTGATGGGGCATGGGGCACACTGGTCAGAGTGGGAAGTATCTGATCACAGAAAACAGAAGTGAAAAGACCCTTGGTGACCCCTGGTCACCATCACTGCACAGACACGGGAAGGATGGGAAGAGACTGGTCTGCAGCGGAGTTCCTCCTCCTCAGCTGGGTGACCCTTTGTGGGGGCAGTGGGGCATCTTCTGCAGCACCCGTGGCCTCGACCTGCCAGATACCAGAAGGAGCCCCTCCCCTAGTTGGCACCACTAAAAAGTCCCCAAGCATTGCCAGGAGCTCCTGGGGTTTGAGTACGAGCTCTGGGGAGGGTTTGGCATGAAGTCTGGTTTATTCCATGACTGACGCTGCTGGAGCTTACAGTGTGGCTGCCGGTAGCACTGTGCCCAGCTCTCTGAACCTGTCCATGTGAGACGCCATTTCTAGCCGCCAACATTCTCATCTCTTGTTATCCATCCATCCCATCCCCATGACCATCCTCTGGATGTCTTCCTGTCAGCCTAGACTCCCTTCCACAGGGGTCAAATCAACCGCAATGCTTTAACCAAGCCTGATCAAGGACGTCACAGAGGAAGTAGCACCTTCCAACTCAGTCCTGCAGACTTGAACCATGACCAAGGAGGACGGAATTCACTTTTTCAGCCACAAGTACACTGTTGGCATAGAGTTAACAACTGGACCCATCCTTGGATCTTATAAAAACAGGAGTACATGGCAGACTATCCCTAGCCTATACGTGTGGACATTATTATAGACAGAATAACAACATTAGACAGAAATCAATAAACAAAGCACTAAACCAAGGCTCTGCCATATTTCACAAACGACTTTCATAACTTGAGTTCATGCACAACAGTTTTGCTGTTGTGCAGTTTTTTTAAATTGTCTCATGATTCTGTAACTGTGGCTTCTGACCTCTGACTGCTCCCCCCACAACCAGAGGAGACCCAAGTGAAGACAGTGTGTTTGGATGCACTCACCGTGCACGCAGGGACCCCCGCCAGCCGAGGAAACATCCCGGGTAGAAAGTGGTTTTCTCTGGTCTGCTTTGCAGAAACTCTCTAATTAGGTCAGCTAGTCTGATTACATGAATTAAGGCCCTCCAGGCTCCACAAACACAATAATTCAATTAAGGACCAACAGGACCTGAGTCTCTGAGCAGTAATACAATTTCAGTTCCCAAGTGAGGCGGTGAGCAATGAACAACTAGATTATCCAAGTCCTGGGGAAGCAGCCAGGGTGCCTGGAACCTAGTTTGGGGAGAAGACAGGGAATCCAGCCTCTTTCCAGATTGTGTTAAATAACATCTTATGGAAAAACATGAACAAACTTTTTGGCCAACCCAATATAAGAAGAACATGCTGTGATACTCAGTAAGGCGTTCCGGGAAAAACGTGGCAAGTTAAGCAAACTACCAGGCCTGTGTGTTCATAGAGGAAATGTAGCAGAGAGAATCCTGACCAGGAAGTTTTAATATAAACTGCTTTTTTGTGGTACCTCTATGAATGCAGAATAATCAAAAACACATCTTAAACACTTATGCTCTCTATTAAAATTGACTCAAGACTCTTTAAAACTAATGGAATGTTAACATAATTTGTAAATGTTCAATGTGAGAACATATCTCAAGAGCACTTTCATTCCATCCTCTTTCCACTGTACGTCATCATCTCCAGCAGTTTACATCAAAGGGACAAGTATAACACAAGTGAAGAACACAGAATTGCACAATTTTATCTTTATGTTAAAAACTGCAAATTTCAGCATGTTCACAAACAAATGCACACTTTTAACACAGGTTCACTTTGGGTCTTCACCCTCTTGTGTAAGAAATGCTTTAAGCTCACAAGACAATCATGAGTAATTCATTTCTAGGGGAAAGAAACTCTCCTACCCTCTTCAATTATCTGTATTTAAAAATAGCACTCACTCCCCAAATAAGGCTTAACAATGGAAATAGTCCAACACAGTCTTATTTTACGTCTAAACGTGTTGGAATTCCTTCCTGGAGTGGGACAAAAATACCCAAAGCTTACGGGAAGGAAACTCATTTTTACAGGCAGAAAAAGCTGTGAGCATTGCCTGGATCACTGTGTGGCTTAAAGATCGCTACGTGATCTATACAGATACTAGCGTCTAATAACACGTAAATATTTCTTATCCTGATCCAAGGGCACGCCATGGTTATGGACTGAAGGGACACACGTCACTCACCCTCTCAGAAGTTTGAAAAGCATACAGCCCAGGGAGAACCAGTCGGCACTGCTGTCATAGGCGGTCCCCTTCTGCAGAACTTCGGGCGCCATGTACCCATGGGTGCCACTGGGGAGAAGAAAGGGCACGTGTGGTTACCAGCATGTTCCCGCTGACAAACTATTCCCAGCTCGTCCAGAGGTCAGGGCGCCATTCATCAAACAGCAGCAGGATAAACAAGGGGGAGGGGACATCGGTGCTTCCATCAAATATGGCTTGGCAAACACCCAATGGGAAAATGATATTTCCTTCGTTAAAATAGGAATGAATATTAATGAATTACCATATGAGATAAACGTGAGCCATGTGCATGCTCTGGGCACGCTCCATGGTCTGGGAAGGTGAGATCTGAATCTTGTGAGCCTTCCCCACTACAGCGAGGGGCAGCCAAGGGTCTCCTGCCCACTGGAGAGCTTTTGTGTGGAGATGTGTGGGGCTGGGGAGGTGGTGATGAACAGGTGACCACACTGCAGTGTTCTGGACCTGGAAGCGATGGGGACAGGTTAGTGCCTGTCCCCATCTGTGAGGACAGGTGACCACACTGCAACACTCTGGACCTGAAAGCGATGGGGACAGGCACTCCTGTGAGGACAGGTGACCACATTGCAGCACTCTGGAGCTGGAAGCGATGGGGACAGGTTAGTGCCCGTCCCCACCTATGAGGACAGGTGACCACACCACAGCACTCTCGACCTGGAAGTGATGGGATCAGGCACTCCTGTGAGGCGCCACCCCCTGTGCTGAGGACTGGGGTTTGCACAGGCGTCCATGGTGGCCCTCACCCCTCCACAGTCACGGTGGTCCCCAAGTGGTGGCGGGGAAGCCGACAGGTATGGAGACAGAGAAATCCCAGGTCTGAAGAGCTGCCGACAGGTCAAAGGACCCAGCTCAGCAAATGTGCAGATGGCTTGCAGGAAGCTGAGGAAAATCACCTGGGAGGACAACCGTTTACATATAATATGTTCTATCTGAGAATCAAAATCCTCTCCTGTCCTACAATGTGAGCACACACCATTCCAAGAATGAGAGAAGGCTTGTGGGAAACTTTCAGAGGTGTGGGCACAAAAGGGTCCCCCAAAAGCCGTTATCCGCAGCTGTATTCCCATCTTTCATCAATTTTCTCCGCTGATGGAATGGGTGGTGAGGTGACACCACCCAGAACACAAGTGGGATGGGCTCAGGGCAGCACTGGCACTTGAAAAGAGCCCCTTGCGTTCTTATAAGCATTTCTAGCTTGCTTATGCTCAGTATTGGTGAGAATCTGTTCAGACGAGTGACCCTGGAGGTCAACACTGGGACTGTGTCCTCTCAGCCTCAGAGTTCCATCCTGAAAGACTTTTCCAAACAGTGGAAACGGGCACCAGTCCATCCATCAGAAAAGCTCCGCCCCTGCAACCCGAAGTCTGCAGCGTGAGGCCAGCGAGCCATGCCGTGAGGACGTCAGCCATCTCCCTAAGGGGCACCAAGCCATCTTCTGGGAAGGCTTAATTTCGGTGCGGCCAGGAAAACCTTGGTGGTTTTATAACCCGCGATTCTCGGGATCAGAACCCAGGCCTGGGATGGGAAGACCTTGACAAGGAGATATACACAGGGTTAAGGCATATCATGCCTCTGGGCGGACACCACCAAAGCAGAGCTCCGGACCACCTGCCATGTGGATTTCAGCCTCTGCCACTCGGCAGGGCCCAAGGCTGCCTGCGCTTCCCACTGCCAGTCTGTGCTGTTCACGCTGAAAGAACGCCCGAGCATTTGAAGGCATGGTGACTAGAGACCGAGCCTTGCATTCTTGAAGAAAATCAGCTGGGACTCAGCAAGTCACTGACGATCTGCTTGATTCCATGAAGTTTTCCTGTGTTGTCTGGTGGCTGCTCCATGGGTCACTTTTAGTTTTTGAGAATCCAGTTCCATCATTTAAAGGACGGAGTCAGGGTCAAGATGGGGAACTGACCATGATGCTGCTCTGCCAGCATCACATGGAGTCCTGGGATCACACCTACCACTTTGAAAAGACCCGAGAAGCCCAGTCGAGGGTGAGAGTCTGGCCATAAGCCTTCAATCTAGTATCAGGTCCATCCTCTCAAAGACTCGGGGAGTTCAAACGAGTGTAGGGAGCTCAAGCCTTAGAGCCGGACAGAACTGGATTTTAATTCAAGCCCCACCATCTGCCAGGCCTGAGACTTTGTTCAAGTTCCTTAGTTTCTCGGAACTTCATATTCCACCCCATAAAAAGTCGATGATTATATCCATGCCCTATGCGGGCTTCTAAAGAGCCTCTTAATGGAAGTCTTGAAAGAAGAGAGTGAAAAAGTTGGTTTAAAACTCAACACTCAAAAAACAAAGATCATAGCATCCGGTCCCATCACTTCATGGCAAATAGATGGGGAAACAATGGAAACAGTGACAGACTTTATCTTCTTAGGCTCCAAAATCACTGCAGATGGTGACTGCAGCCACAAAATTAAAAGACACTTGCTCCTTGGAAGAAAAGCTATGACAAACCTAGACAGCATATAAAAAGCAGAGACATGACTTTGCCGACAAAGAACCGTATAGTCAAAGCTATGGTTTTTTCAATAGTCATGTGTGTATGTGAGAGCTGGACCACAAAGAAAGCTAAGCACTGAAGAATTGATGCTTTTGAACTGTGGTGTTGGAGAAGACTCTTGAGAGTCCCTTGGACTGCAAGGAGATCCAACCAGTTCATCCTAAAGGAGATCAGTCCTGGGTGTTCACTGGAAGGACGGATGCTCAAGCTAAGGCTCCAATACTTTGGCCACCTGATGTGAAGAGCTGACTCATTTGAAAAGACCCTGATGCTGGGAACGATTGAGGGCAGGAGGAGAAGGGGACGACAGAGGATGAGATGGTTGGATGGCATCACTGACTTGATGGACATGAGTTTGAGCAAGCTCTGGGAGTTGGTGATGGACAGGGAGGCCTGGTGTGCTGCAGCCCATGGGGTTGCAGAGTCGGACACAACCGAGCGACTGAACGGAACGGAACTGAATGAAGATACTAATAACAACATATTCAGGCCGCCAGCCACGTGTTCCTGGACAGCCAACGTTCCACTCACAGCATGAATGCTGTCCCACACCAGTTACTTCCTGGACAGTCCCCCAGGCTGCTGTTCTGGGAGGTCAGGGAGCCCGTCGGCCTCAACCCTGCTGCACCACCAGCACGTGGCACACAGCCAGCGTCGGCTAGGCCCTTTACTACGTGACGGAGGCGGCTGCACCCTCACAACGGTCAGGTGCAGTGAGCAGCACTGTGACGGCCTCTCTGCAGAAGAGAAAAATGAGGCTGGTGCCACGTGGAAGGATTCAAGCCCACATCTGTCTCGAAAGCCTCTGTTCTCCGCCTCCTCAACCTAAAAACATACTTCATTGAGAGTTTATCCTTTCTGAGTAGCAACCTCACTATCGCCACTTAAACATACTTCTTCACTGAGCGTTTATCCTTTTTAAGTAGCGACCTCACTATCGTCATTTAAACATTCAAGCTTCCCGACAGGGTTGGAAGGTTGAACCCTTTATGGATGCAGTTCAGATAACGGACAACACACTACCTTTCAGAGCTGGCTTGTGAATTACAGTAAGACGTGAGCGAGGCCCTATAAGGGAATAAGCAACCCTGCTTCTGAAAGTTAATTCCTTTGAGAGATTAACTCTTATGAGCTCTTGGGTTCATATTCAGTTGTGACTATCCTAAATTGAAGAAATTAGCATATCAAATAGCTGTGGCATTAAAAATTCAAATGACTCTCTTTAAAATGTCTGATGAACTCCCTGGGAGAGGCTGATACATCCAACCCCAGGTTCTGGCCTCATAATTGTCAAGTGCTGACAAAATGCTAAGGCTTTTATCACCCTGTCCCACATTCTGCAGGAAGGGAGAGACATCTTTACAGAGATGGCACTAATTGCCATTAATATCTGATCACAGCTTTAAATGGCAATTCTGATTTAATGCAGCCCCTCGTAAAGCAGTTTTAGAACCATTTTACTTCTAGTCTCACACACACACACAAAAAGGATTTATAGTTTATTTTCTGCATGGATGCATGAAACAAGACCCCTGGGAGTTACTTCAAGACCATTCAACACAGCGATGACGCACAGTAAGATGGAATGTTAAGACATTCACTGCTAAGACTGATACACTGAAGAAGAAAATAATCAAGGGAATTTTTTCCACAAACTGCACACCTGTCCATACTTTCTACACAGAAAACTGACATCAAAGAAATAGGAATGAAAACCAGTACATATTCTGAGCCGCCTCTGTTGAGCCCCGGGGCAGCCACCTCACGCCTGCTGTCACTGCAACGATCTCAGGTTCAGGCAAGTCCTTGGGACAGTGTCAGCACGTGTGGAGACAGCACGGCCATCACTACAGGCAGTTCAGGGCCCACCAAGGTGGGGCAGGGATGGCCAAGAGCACGGGCTTCCGGAAGCTTCCTCTGCTTGGAGGACGGATGTAATATTGAAATCTAACAACAGGATCTGCATTAAAAGTTTGAACTGCAAGTAGATGATTCTTTTAATTAAAAAAAAAAAAATCCTCATTTCTTTTTAGAAAAAAAAAAAAGGAAACGTTTTGAAAAAGAAGGAGAGAGTGGATGGAGAGAGAAGCTTGACCTCTGGGCCTTCCCTGGAAAGCTCTATGTAATTGCCTGCCCCTTCTATGGCACATAAGCTGTGGGGGTCTACTGCAACTGCTGCTCTGTATGAAGAGATTGAGGGCCACAGAGCCAGCGTGGACTCGGCTCTGCTGCGAAGGCCCCTCCTTCCCAGCCTGCCTGCCCCCAGGCAGCTAACACTGTGGGTCCCCTGCATGCCCCCCAAATGCAATCACGCCACCCCACCTCTTTCCTCTCCCTCTGACCCAGCACCATCACATGTTGGAAACTACTGCTGACAAGAGAAAACTGGGAGAACAAACGACCATGTTGGGGTCTGAGTGAAAAAGTGAGTCGAACTAGGAGACGACAGTGAACAGAGTCAATGTGACTACTCACACACTCGCATGTGGCTTCTTTTTGGAAAAATCACAGGCAAGACCGAGGTCTGATATCCTCACGTGTCCGTGCTCATCCAGGAGGATATTGGCGGGCTAAAATGAAAGAGAAGGTGATTTCTGAGAGTCCCCAAGGCGTCCCGAGGCTTGGAGAACTTCCAAAATCACAGGCACTTGCTATCATTATTTTTATCACAGTTCATTCGTACACATGAATTCCAGTATTAATTACATCATCGCCTCCAAGTGGGGCATGAGACCAGCAATGATACCTTTCATGTTATCAGTAACTCTAGCAGGAGAGTGGCACTGAAGGATGGAGAAGATGGAACACAGTGCAGGCAACACAGGGGGTCACCACCACAGCTCATCACCGTTCAAGTACTTCCTTTCCACAGCAAGAGCTGCAGTCCAGCCAGAATGGGGTGTCTCTCCACAAAGGCAGTGAGTCCACTGGCTCCTCAGCCTCTGTGAACCACCAGGACTTTGAGCCGTGGAACACAGCACAGAAAGGAAGCTTGTAACAATGTACAAGTGGTGACCTAGGAAATCAAAATATTCCACGGTGCCACACTAATCCTCATAAACGTCATTTTGGTTTATTAGGAGAGAATCTATGGAGGGCCTTACCAAATGACCAGATATGATTTTGACCACAACTCTGATGAAATGTATCCATTAAGATTAGATTTAGTCTGCGTCATCATGGAAAACGAAACTCCCCTCCCTAATATACATTGAATTACAGTCATCTTGGTATTTTTCTGCTGGAGATCAACTATTGTTTTGCTCGAAATAAAAATAATGGCATGCCATTATAAAACTGAAGCATGAATAATCATGAGTGACTAGAATTAAGTTTGAATAGAAATTAGATAATACCACTGCCTACTAAATAGTTTAGAAAACAGAAATACCACATCAAGATGATTTGAGACCAGTTATACATTTAAATTAAGATGTATTACAATGGCGCTTCATGGGCTTTCAGAATGTATTTTATTCTTCTGCAAAATTCACCATGAGGAAATAAAATGTCATGTGCCAAACCAGGGTCTAATTATTTCTAATTTGATGAAAATACATTTTTTTCTCTTCTTTATGCTCCTATGAAGGCTACGGGAGTAATTCTTTAGCTTTGCAGGAGGCTTTGAAAGTTACAGTGTATTTTGTGAAAAAAAATAATATGCTCAACTGTGAAATACACCATTTTGGATTCTTAGGAGGTAACCATTTTTAGAAGCCAATCAAAACACATGAGCTCCTTAGAGAAGGGGGCATTATCGGTACAATTGATCTGGTTAACTTGCGTTCAGTTTAACAAGGAATTTGGAGAGAGGAGGCAAACAGGCTTCTCTGCGGGTTTCTCATCCTCTGGACGCTGCCCTGCCAATCACATTTCTTCTCACCATTATTTACACCTTTATGTGCCTGCATGATCATCTCTATAATTTGTCAAGGTCCCTTTCATCTGCTCCCCCACCTTCATGCTGCTGGCTACGTGAATATCACCTCAGAAGTGCCAGGCAAACCACCACCTCCCTCTCTCATGCAGGGTCCTGGACCAAGCAAGCATCGTGCTCTGGAATGGAAAAACTGAGAAAACACCTGCTTCAGTCTCTTCAAGTCCAGTAAGACTTTTTAAAGGGAGGCATGGTAAAGAAGCCTCAGTGCGGCAGACTGGGGCTATGGAGTTCTGGAACCTGGAAATCTGCTGGTGATTTTTTTTAAAGCAATCTCGAAATCACCTGAGGTTCAGAGGGTGGGGGGAATTCTTCTGGCTGTCAGACACCCCCATTCCTACCTGACCAGCCCTGACTCTGGTGAATCAGGACTCAGTCTTTCTATGTGCGAGCTCACCAGTAGATATGTCCCATATGACATTGGTTCTCTGCTTCTTTATCTCTGTACACCTTCTGCCCTCACACCGAGCCAGGACCAAATCAGTTGCTTGGTGAACATTAACAGACTTATGATCAATTGTAAAATGGGTGACAACAAAAAAAAACCCACCCTGCTTTTCATAATTAACGAACCAAAATATCTGAGCTGGTGTATGTGCTGCACCAGGCAGGGAGGTGACGGGGACGACCAGGAAAGACTGGAGTCCTTGGAAAAGAGTTCAGTGCCTGGAGGAGACCGAAATCATGAAGGTGATGTTCTGCTCAGCGCTGAGAGGAGGAAAATGATGGGATGGCATGAAAGAGGGGGAGACGTGTGGGGGACCACAACTACCATGCGGCGCCTACTGCACACGTCGGACAGAAGGCGGGAATCTGTCAGACCACCTTACCTTCAAGTCTCTGTAAACGACAAACCGATTGTGCATGTGTTCCAGCCCCAGGATGATTTCTGTGGCATAAAACCGCATCTCCTTCTCAGAAAACACCCCGTGCTGTGAAAGGTGATAGTGCAGGTCACCCCCTGGAATCAAAGACGCAGAATGTAATTCGGTTCGTGAATTACAGGGAAGCAAGTCACAGGCATCGTGCAGCATCATGATATGGTTGACAATGGTTAACTAACTTTATGCTTTGCCTACATGTATGATATAGATGTATCACTGACTTCTGTAATCTGATGAGACACTTTAAAAATCCCAGAGAAAACTAAACCACTGAGAAGACTCAGATTCGACAGTGGCTGGGACAACATGAACCCAAGCCTCCGCTCTCGGATGGACACCACAACGCCCGTGTGTACCACTGCGGGGAGCGGGACGGGGGTGAGCTGATCTTTTGATGACTACAGTCCTGTTTCCTAACTGAATCACCCTCGTAGTGAGGTAGTATGTAACTGGCTCTGTGGACAGTAAATATGGAGACAAAATAAATACACTGCTCATATTGACAGATATTTGAGAAAGCAAATACAGTAAAATTTTAACTGGTAAAACCCAGGTGGTTGGGTGTTTGGGTGTCCCCGGTAAAATCCTTTCAGTGTTGTAATACCTTTGAATTTTTCATAATAAAGGGTTGGAAAAGATCAATGATCATATGGCCTCCAGTTACAGAGACAGAGAATGCCACCAACAGGGTAAGGGAATGTTCTCATAAATGATAAAGTCGGAGCCACAGCTGATTTACAGAGGTTCACGTGTGTTCAATTACATTACCTTTGATTCCCTAAGTATCTTCCTGTTCACACACGCATATTTTTATGTAACTATTTTCGATCAGGATGTAAAAGATTTCCAGCATTGCTGAAGGCTCCCTGTGCCCACCCCAGGCAGTATTATCAGCTCACAGCCCCTCATTACAGCCAACTGGACTCTACTCTGACCTCTGCCCTCATTGATTAGCTTTGCCAGTTCTGACAGTCACACAAATCGAGTCATGCAGGAAATATGCTGCTGTGTCTGGCTGGTCTGCTCATTATTATGTCTGTGAAATTCCTTCATGCTGTTGGATGGGTCTGGTTCTAAATCAAAAACTCAAAACATAATTAAAACTTCAACTGAACTTCAAAACAGGTATTCATTTATGGAAATATATGCTTTTCCATTTCAGCCCCTGTTACTAAAAATGCTTTGAATTACATCATGTCACTTTCTAGTATTAGAAAACTGAGTGAATGAGTGAGTCAAAGCTGCTCAGTTGTGTCTGACTCTTTGTGAACCCATGGACTGCAGCCTGCCAAACTCCTCTGTCCATGGGGATTCTCCAGGCAAGAATACTGGATTGGGTTGCCATGCCTTCCTCCAGGGGATCTTCCCCACCCAGGGATCGCACCCAGGTCTCCCGCACTGCAGGTGGATGCTTTACCATCGAGCCACCAGGGAAGACTGTTAGAAAATCACTTTCTGGCTTAAGTTCTTCCTGCATTCTCCAGTTCATCATTGACAGTTTAAAGACTGATATATGGTGGGTCTGGACTAAAGGTACAGACTACTGGGCTAAGATCTGAGCTGGCCCAGAGTCAGTCCTTCACAGTTGGTTTTTAAATACATTCCTGTCTTTGGCCTATGAACCTTTAGGAGACATTTCATTCCTAAAGTTGATGGCCAGCTGGCTGCAGCCAACTTTTTAAAATGAAGTTGAACTGGAAATTCAAAGAGTGAAAGGCTTCCTTAAACTTGAGGGGGAATCTAATTATCTGAAAGACCCAAATGGCCAGTCTGTCTGGAGCAATGCAAGCTAAGATCAAACATCCTGAAACAACATTACAGCGGAGTCATTCAATGTGTTCAGACTCCCCAGGTCTTGCTTACCGTTCATCAGATCTAAGATGAAGCACAGTTTATCTGGAGTGTGGAAGGCATAGGTCATACAGACGATGAAAGGACAATCCTAGAGTGAAAAAAAAAAAAACAACTATGTATATATACACACACACACACACACACATATATATATATATAAGAAAAGCAAAAGCTGTCCTGGAAAGTACATCTACTACCAAGTGTCATCTATACATTTTTTTTAAGCCATGACACTGCCCTGTATATGAAACACAGACACCTATGTGGTAACTTTAACAGACCCAGGAAAGCGAGCCTGATTCCATGGGAAAAAAATGCACAGAGATACAAACACTGCCAATTGGAGATGAACTCAGAGATGCTCTGTCACTCTAATTAAATCATGACTCCTCTATCTACATCTTCAAAAGACTCAAGATTCTAGCGAAAAATATTACTGCCTTGCTAGTCCTCCTATTGGTCTACACTTTGGTTCTGGTTATAGTCACATATCCATTTCAATGTCTGATTCTGAGCTGGAAGAACCTTTATCATGGGGAGAAATGTTCCTCATATTACTGTCTTGAAACACTGACAATAAAAATGGAATTTTAAAAAAAAGGAATTAAATCAGCTTTTGAAAGTGGAAAATACACCAGGGTGGGGGATAGAAAAACTCAACTGTAAAGATGTCAGTTTTCTCCCAAATTAATCTATACATTCCATGTAAACAATTAAAATGGAAACTGACAAACTCATCCCCATATTTATATGGAAATGTAAATAGCTAAGAAAAGTTCAGATAACTCTTGAAGAAAAATAAAGCTGAAACTTCTGTTCTTCAGAAGACACCATTAAGAGAGTAAGAAAGGCAAATAACAGAATGGGAGGAGGTATTTGAAATCCACATATATCTTGAATATATAAAGAACTCTCATCAATCAATAAAGAAAAAAGCAAACAACCCAACAGGAAAATGGCATGACAGCAACAACAACAACAATACTGCATATATGTTACTGAGTATCAAATAGTCTGTAAGTCTTTAAACAGATGCTAGACCTCAGCTGTCCCCCAAGGAAATGCAAACTGCAAATCACAATGCTTCATCACTAAAACAAAGGAGAATGACTAAAATTACAAAGACTGATGATACCAAGTATTACAAAGATACAGAGTCAATGGGACTTCCAATATGGTGGCTGGGAGGACACAATCGTACAACCACTTTCACAAGGCGTTTGATGGCATCTGCCAAAGTTGATCACTACCTGCACAGCCTATGAGCCAGCAATTCCAGCCCGGTGTATTTACCTAACAGTAATCTGTACTCATGTGCACCAAGGGACCTGCATGAGAATGGTCCTCACAGCACTATTCAAAATAGCCCAAACCAGGAAATAATCCCAATGTCTGCCAACAGGAGGATGGACACACGAACTGTGGCACATTTATATGACGGAATACTATAGAGCAGGGGCTGCCAAACTTTTTCTGCAAATGGGCTAGACAGTAAATATTTTAAGCTTTGCAGGCCCCATCCAGTCCCTGTCACATAGTCTTCTCTGCTTCTTTTCTTTACAATTTCTTCTCTGCTGCTTTTGCTTTAAAAAAAAAATTCTTAGTTCATAGGCTGTGAACACAAGCCAGATTTGGTCCCCAGGCCACACACATAGCCTGGTGACCCTTCCTATTTAGCTACAGAAGGTGCTGTTGCTATGAGCAACAACTCAGCTGCATCTTGCAAGCAACACTGAGAGAAGCCAGACACAAAAAGAATACATTTATATAAAGTTCCAACAGGGGCACAGGTAAATTACAGTGTCAGACATCTGGGTAGTAGTTAGCTTGGGCATGGGGTGAGCAGCTGAAAAGGGTAAGGGGAGACTTTTGGGACATGGGTGACTCTGTCTCTTGACCTAGATTCTAGATACACGCATGTGCTCCCTGGTGAAAATCCACTAGATCCAGCACTAGGTCCCACTGAGATACATACACAGTGAACACTTCCGTTCAACTGATTCAAATAACAAACAGCATCAAATATCTACATTTATTTTCTCAACAGAAGCAAAGAATTATTAAATTCTACAGAACATACTCAACTTTCAATAGAGTACACTGTGAACAGAATTCACTTTGCTCACACCTATAGATGAAGGGCATACAGATGAATTTGTGTGGACACATGCCTGTGTACTCAGGATTCGTGAACTTGAACTCAATTTCCACAAGTCTTCTGGAGGAAATTCATTTCGTGGTTACCTTGTTTTCCTTAAGAGTTCAGTTGAGATGGTCTTGGTGTTCACTAATTTAGAGATTTACTTTGTTTTACATAGTTGTAAAATAAAGGTGCTGTCCTTTATCAGTTAAAAGCTATCTGGTTCTTGGGGGCAGGGTGGCACCATCCTAATTGGAGCCCCGCAAGTGTTTCACCAGACCTTTCCATAGTCTGCTGGTGAGGACTCATTCTGTTGTAAATATCATGCTCCTTCCTTAATGGGGTTCCCCACGTTCTCTGGTTCCTGATCTAATGAGCAATTCATCTCTAGAACAGACAAGTGGGTGGACCAGGAACTTAGTAAAGCCTGGGTCTTTTCCCGCTTGAGATAGCAACCCCACTCACTTCACCCAGGGGACCAACAGAGCCTGGAAAGGGGTATTTCTGAACAGACAGTGTTCAACCCTTCTAACGACAGCCCTGAGAAAACAGCAAAACGTCAAAGTGGAGTTAAGATACTATGTCATTAAGATACAACATAAATTGGAGATTTAAAGTCGTAGGCTACTAGAATAGGAAGTGCTCGTCTAAAAAAAAAAAAAAATCACCTGGTCCAAATTCTTTACTTTAAAGATGAGGAAGCTAAACACTGTGTCCCTGCCCCCCTCCCCCCACCTTCTAAAAGGTAAATGACTTGCCTGAGGCCACAAAGAAATCTGGTAGCCAGCCAAGATTCAAACCCCAAGTCTCCCACTCTGGACCCTCACCAGACCCTGTCCTATGTCACTCCACTTACAAAGGTAACATTTCCATAGCAATGTAAAATCAAAGCTCAGTTAAAGGGATGTGATTTGGTTATCTCTAAGGAGTTCACTGACCAGGATCCCTCATCTCTTAGGCCCTGAGCAGATGCCATCTTGAGTCTTGGGTGGGGTCCAAGACACAAAGAACTGAATGCTGACCCACACAGACAAACAGGCAGCAGTTTAATAATGGTGTTAGCACAGATTCTAAGATAATTATGGCAATGTTCTGTCTTGATTACAAATTCAAGGTGAATAAGAACTAGGGGGTTCTCACAGGTGGATCCTTAAATAAAAGCTCTTAAGCAAGGAATTATCTCCTTTTTTTTTTAAGGTTTTTTTTTTTTTTTTTGGTGGCATGCAGGATTTTAGTTCCCCAACCAGGGATTGAATCTATGCCTCCTGCATTGGAAGCATGAAGTCTTGACCACTGGACTGCGGGGACATCCCTGGAACTGTCTTCTTTGATTTCCTAGTGAATGAAACAGTCTGCATTTTACAGGAAATTAAACTGTGATAAAATAGATCACAAAGTAGTCCTCCAGAAAAGTTCTCCACCCTGCAGTAAGAGGAACTCTTTCAGAACTGCAAGGCTTATTAAATGGCTGTAAAGATTTTTTTTAAGTCCTCAGTACTGGTCCAGAAAGCTCTTTCTGCTGGTCTGGCCTCTGTCTGCTTCCCTCTCTCCCCAGCTTCCCCGAGTGGTCCTCACCGCATCACTTCAGGTCAGCCCAGGGGTGCTGACCTGTGAGTCCCCAGAGCTCCCGTGCTCAGGACTCACACACAACCTGGCGTCCCCTCCGACCCCAGAGGACCGCCCTGTTAAACACCTTCTGAGCACTACGGACCTCTCTTCCACAGGTCTTGCCACGTGTTCCAACAATCAACACATGTCTTGAGATTCTCTGAGTAAACACTGCTGTCTCTCATTTTACGCAGCTCTGTAAAAGCAAAGACCAAATTCGCGTTTCGGGACCCCTGTCTTGTAGCAGAGTATCTGGCACAATCGAAGACTCAAGGATGATCAGGAAATGAATAAGCAACACTCCTCATGAATAACTCACTGACTTAATGAAGGTGCTGATGGCTCCTCCCAGTAATGGACATACTTGCCCTGATTCCCTTTTCATGACCTGAAAGTTACGGAATAAAACTGGGAACAGTACTTCTTACTGTCTCTTTAGGGGGTGAGAAGTAGGAATTCTCAATCTGAGATTGAAACAGTAAAACAACCTCCAAGCAGAAAGAAAACTCTGATGGTAACTCCAGCTTATTTCCATGCCAACACCTTAGGTAATCATATTGACACAGGCCGATCAACAAACACATCACCTAAGGAGGCAATTTTAAACTAAAGGTTACTTAAATCCTACAAACTGTGGCCTTTGATCAACAAAGATGACTCTAAATAAGCTTACTACAATTCTTTTGGTTAAATTATGCACTTACAATGTTTTAAAAAATGCTAAATGGTCTTGATATTTGAATAAAAAACAGAAACAAGTCTTAAATTAGTTCAAAGCAGTAGCCCAACATAACTGCAATTTTTTTATTTACTCCCTTATGGGCAGACCAGTGAGGAATTCTACAACTACTTAATCACATTCTGCTCACCTGAATAAAACAAAAATGCTACATGAAAATTAAAATTGTTCATATATTTTTCCAACACCCTCAATTTTTTTCCATAGGCTTTCCTGGGAATAAACATCCAAGGCTTTAAGACATTAAAACTTAATATTTTAATAAAGCACTTAAAGTCTGCAGTAAGCACACATTCACATTTGAAATGAAGACAGAGACATTTCCAACAGATACTAGAAACCAATGTCATTCACGCTGATTCCAATACAGTGTGCAGGCCTCTCAGATGCCATTCCAAACAGTTAAAATCTTGGTCACACACACAGAGCAGTGCACTCTTACTTGAAATGTTTAATGTCTACATGTTGGCAGGGAGAGGTGCATAATTAAGACATTACTGTTCATAGCGATGGCATTTTCATCTGTTATAGTTAAACTAAATTATGATATTCATTGACTTCAATAGTAAATAGCCTTTCTAGAAGCACTTAAAACTAACACTAGAATAACATAAACCACAACACAATAAATGTATCTGGTGACAAGAAAACATGGAGCCTACAAAGGGATGAGAAAAGAACACTGGGATCCTCTAGGAAGTCCAGGGACTCAGGGCAAAGAAATGATGTCCCTGGATCTCAGGTTCCTTGCTTATCAGCTAAAAGGAATGCCTTGAGTCATCACGAAGACTTGAGTCTTCGGAAACCTCTGGGTGAAGGTGACCTTATTTAGAGCCCAGCTGTGACTGCTGGAGGTACCCCTAGGCTCTGCGCCTCTGCGCCTCACTCGCTGAGGTACACGGGCAATGCCCAGGTTTCTGGGACCGTGGGTTTTCCTGGGTGTCTTTACATATATCTGCCCGAGTAAATAAAAGCTGAGATTTTGGTCCTGGGTGATGCCATTAACAGGAAAACAAATCAGAGCGGGATGTTGCTTTACAAGTCAAGATGACACAGGGTGAAGCTGGCTTTGACACGTGATGAGCTCAAAATGACAGCTGGAATGTATGAATAAACAGACCACTGGGCAGAAATATGGTGCCGGAGATGGGAAAGACCAGCATCCACAGTAGGGAAAGACGGCAAGTACCAGGAAGACAGGGTCCCCTCCACATGAAATATGGACTGGCTGCTGCTGCTGCTAAGTCGCTTCAGTCGTGTCCAACTCTGTGCGACCCCATAGACAGCAGCCCACCAGGCTCCGCTGTCCCTGAGATTCTGGGGAGCACTCCAAAGGGATAGTTGGGGGTTGACGAAGCCACATCACTTCCTCTCTGTTTGTGAAGGAGGGACGCGACGTTCCTCTTAACTTTTTCTCCTCTGGGTTAGTCCTTCGCTGTCATGCAGCCAATTCTTAACTATATTCAGGTGATTTTTTTGGTCACTGATACAATTATATCCTGCCATCTCTGTCATATTCCACAAAGAAGGAAGTCATAAATGTGCAGTGAAGGGACAAGTGGTCAGTGTGAATGGCAATGGCAAGTAGTATGAAGGGACAAGTGGTCAGTGTGAATGGCGATGGCCAGTAGTATGTTCCTAATTCCCAACTCAGACAGAGGTCATCTCTGAATTATTATTTATATTAACTTAGTGCTGCTGCTCCCTGCTATAAATTCTAATCCCCTCAAGAACTGGCTAGCTACATAATTCACCAGGGGAAAAAAAAAGCTGTATTTTAAATAAATTGTCCTGATACAAAAACAAACAAACAAACAAAAAAAAACAACCCACCAAATAAATAGCAAAACACACACACACACAAGTGTAATGTTCAAAACTGAATACTCACTCCTGTGCTCACCAGGGACAACATGATCCTTTCATTTAAGGCTAACGTTTCTCCCTGTTTCATCTTGATTCTCTTCTTATCCAAGCATTTCATTGCATACCTGGAACCATAAATATTACTGAAGAAAATCTATACAGAAAATATATCTAAGTGGATATAAATGATACACATCATATTGGGGGAAGTTCCTAAAAATTTGGGAAGTCTTTTAAAGCAGCAAAATGCTTCTAAGAGACTAAGGGAATCTGAATAAAGTGGAGACTTCAGTCAGTAACAGCACATCAATATCTGTTCATTCATTGTGACACGTGTCCTGTACTACGGTAAGAGGGATGCGGAGTACATAGAAACTGCCTGCACTATTTTTTTGCTCCTTTTCTCCAAACCTAAAACTATTCTAAAGTGAAAAGGCTATTTAAAAAAAAAAATCAAGCAATAATTAAGATATTTCTATTATATGAATTGACATTTCAGTTAAATAAAAGCAATAAAGTAGATAAACAAAAAAGTCAGGGAAATAAATTTTGTATGTGTCCCTACTGTCTAGTACTTGTGTGTGTGTGTGTGTGTTTTGTAGGAGTGGGGCCTGTACTATAATATTTAGCGTGTAGGAATTGTGAATTAAGCACTGGTCAAGATTTTATAAGCGTGTAGAGGGTAAGATTCTAAAACACTGATCATCGACTAAATGGGCTTTTCTTTGAATATGAGTATAAAACCCTCTTAATATTCCCAGCAAAATATACAAGAGTAGAATGCTTACATTTTTCCAGTGTCTGCTTTCCTGCAACCGTATACTTCACCGAATCCTCCTCGTCCAATGATCCGATGCACGCTGAAATCATTCATGGTCAACTGTGAATTTAAAATGCGACACAGAAACGTAAGACTGCGTAAAAACTATCCCACTGTTTTCATGTAAAACACACACAGTTATTGAAACAGCGATTCTGACACTGCTGCCCTTTCGGCGACTGGCCCCACAAGCTGAGAGATAAGAAGCACAGGTGGCAGGACATTCTAGAACTGCCTTCGATGTAAACTGCACAGGATGCAAACCATGGAGGCAACTGGGAAGACAACCTGGTGGGAGCCCGTTGTTTTATCCAGTCCCATGAATCTTAGATTATAAGATGTATACTTTCAAGACAAGTGAATGTGAAATTTCCAGGCAAACTACAAAGTGACCTCGGCTACTCTGAAGCTGAAAGTTTGGGAACGGTTCAGCCATTCCAGGAACTTCTGTGGAAGAAAAATAGGTCTGCATCAAGGGCATGTATGCTCTCCTAACAGTTGGACCATATGATCAGAAAGCCTAATAAATGCTGGCCATGTGAATTTTTTTCTCAAAAGCATCAGTAAGTAGAGAGGACTCATGCTGGGCACGTGAGTGAAAGCAGACCACGTGTGAGTAGCTTGACGAAGAGGCTTTCATTCATAAGCACGAGGCTTTCATCAATATCATCTCAGCAAAGCCGTGCTTCCCAAGAAGTCCTCATAGCACCAGATGGTACAAAGGCAAAGAGAGAGTCCTATGTTCATGGTAAGAGGCCATCAGACAATAGCAAATGCTTTTAGTTACGTGTCCTGGCAAAAGAAGGGTCAGATCCTTGAAGTGTTTCTCCAGACAACCCTTCAGACATCATGTCTGCAGCCAGGCAGGGGCACCCGGCCCTCGAGCTTCACGCTTGCTGCTCAGAGGACAGGACGTGAAAATGTGAGGACACCACGTCTGCTAAAGGGGCACAGGCACAAGGAAGATCCACAGCAGAGGTAAGGGCTTTTTGGTTTTGTTTGTTCACTGCCTCTTGCTTCTCAGTCCTGCTGGAATTGGGGTAGAGAGGAGAAATTAAAAAGAAAAAAAAAAAAAACCCACTTCTGTGAATGGTACTGTTCAACTAAAAAAATTTTTTTAAAAAATCAAAAACAGAATCAAGTTATTTCTTTTTCTCAGTTGCAAAGCTTTGTGGAGAGAGAGCACAGGGAAAGGGGAAGAGACATGAACACTCTAAACGTGAAGTAAAGAATGTGCCCCAGAACTCCTGACGTGGAAAAGCTAAGAGAAGATGCAGCACTGGGGATACAAGCTAGGAAGTATCGCGCCTTTGAGGACCGCTTTCATCATTCTCAAAACAATAAAAAAGATGCAACTGCGGTCTAGTAAGAGATATCATCATGTTTATATCATGACTGCACCTAATAAGAAAAAAAAAAAAAAAAGGAAATTTACCAGGATGGCAAATGACATGGGCACAGGAATCGCATGATGTAGAAGACTTGTGTCTTTACCACTACTTCTATTAAAAGCTTAATTATGGCCTAAAATATCCTTCCTTAAATAAATAAATGCATTCTTATATGAATATGAAAAAAAGGATGAAAACGCAAAGTGTTTACAACTGGATATGGGAGGATGGATTTTTCATGCGTAAAGCTGTAAGCACGACATCTGTTTGGGCAGCATGTTACCCTTGGGAGTATGCTGCCGAATAAAATATTTTCTCACGAAGCTGAGCCAAAGGAAGTTTTTATTTAAAAAAAGAAAGGCAAAGATGATACTCACATGGATATTTAATTCCACGTTTTTCCACTGACAAAATCTAGTGAACTTGTCACTGAAAAAGAATGTGAGGAATTACTAAAAAGTTAAATACCATGTTAACTGAGAAACTAGCACTGTATACTTGTGTGACTTCTCAAAGTGAGCTTTCCATAAACATTTTTTTCACAAAGCGTTCGCCTAGCACTCAAGGCTTTATTTTACGATTCAAATTGAAGACTTCATGTTTCTGCTTTAATTGTCATTATGTTACGGTAACAATCTTTATCTGAGTCGGTACTGTCCAACAGATGGGTAACAGATGACACATAAGTAATTTAATTTTAATAATGTATCTTATTTGAACCAATATATCAAAAAAATTATCATTTCAACATGTAATCAATATAAAATTTTAATGAGACAGTCTCATTCTTATTTTTGTATTGCTTTGAAAGTGAAAATCACTCAGTCATGTCCAACTCTTTGCAGCCCCATGGCCTATACCATCCATGGAATTCTCCAGGCCAGAATATTGGAGTGGGTAGCCTTTCCCTTCTCCAAAGGATCTTCCCAACCCAGGGATTGAACCCAGGTCTCCCGCATTACAGGTGGATTCTTTACCAGCTGAGCCACAAGGGAAGCCCAAGAATACTACAGTGGGTAGCCTATCCCTTCTCCAGGAGATCTTCCCAACCCAGGAATCGAACCGGGGTCTCCTACATTGCAGGCGGATTCTTTACCAACTGAGCTATCAGAAAAGCCCCTGAAACTGGTTTGAATCCATTGCTTTGAAACCCGGTGTGTATTTTGCATTTATAGCCCATTTTTATGTAAAACTTCATATAGAGAACAGACTTATGGCTCTCTATGTGAGAAAGGATGAGAGGCGTGGGGGAGGGCTCGATTGGGATTTGAGATAAGCAGATGTAAACTATTATATATAGGACGAATACACAACAGAGTCCTACTGTATAACACAGGGAACTAGATTCAAAATCTTGTGATAAACCATAATGGAAAAGAATATGAAGAAGAATATATAAATGTATATATGTATAGCTGAATCGCTTTGCTGTACACAGAAATTAACATTGCAAATCAACTATACTTCAACAAAATTTAAAAAAAAAAGTGAATGGTCAATTCAGTGGGAGACAATGACTGTGCAGGTTTACCTGGATACACAGTGGAGTTATAAGACCTCTTTCCCAATTTCAATTACCATCCCCATTTCTCCCCTCATCCCCAAGGGTCACAGAACAATGAGTTGACCCAAGAGTTTGGGAAAAGTCAGATCTTTAGAATCAGCAGCCATGGAGACGGCCGAAGACTCAGTTGAATCTTAGCCCTGAAGCGGGGCCCTGGCCCCTCAGTTCCATGCCACTGCTTTTTGGCAAAGCCCCTCTGGTCCTGCTCAGAAAATGTAATCATTTGTATGCAGATTCATTTCCCACAGTACTGATTCTACTCCAAGATAAAATTATCTCTTGAACTCTGGTAGAATCTTGACACAACTTTTTTAAAAATTACTTTAGTTCTGTGAACATGTGGAGAAGAAGGAGAAAAAAAACAAAACAAAACACTGAAGCATTTGTTCTTAAAGGGCAATTACTGAACAGCTGGGCTGCTCCCGCCCTGAGGCTCGATCATCATGACAACTGTCTAGAAATTAGCTGAGCTTACAGAGAAGAGCAGAGTCCATGTGAACCCAGATTCAGAGTCAGAAAGTCTGATCCCTAAGGTGCATCATCGCAGAGGAACACTCACAACACTGAGGGGCTGACTCTTAGGTGCCTGGGAAGCATGTGAACACTTTCATAGGCATCCCTGAAATTTTTTAAATTTACTTTTTAAAAAAATTTTATTTTACACTGGAGTATAGATGATTTACAATGCTGTGCTAGTTTCAGGTGTACGGCAAAGTGATTCAGTTACACATATATCTATTCTTTTTCAGATTCTTTTCCCCTTTAGGTTATTATAAATATCAAGTAGAATTCCCTATGCTACACAGTAGGTCCTTGTTAATTACCTAGAAAGTTTTCAGGATTTTATATGACAAACATACTCTATAGTTTGAGTAACCCAAAGGGACACATTTATTGGGTATGTTAATGACAGACATGACAAAAGACATCTGCCAATATACCTAAATTCTACTATGTAAAGAATCAAGAAAAGAGCTATCTCATTTTTAAGGATATGACTTTAACATATAAACAAATGAATTGAATATAGACTCATGCTTGCATCAGCAAACACGTCCCAATAAGATACTTTCAATATTAAGGTTCCCTAGTCTATTTACATTTTGGATCATTTGGAAACTAAAAAACTAAAAGTCAAAGGCATGTTAAGATATACAAATCCTAAATTATAAAGTATAGAGGGCACAAGCTAATACAAAGCCTGGTACAGAGCACATGGATAATAAATGTTTGTTGAGTGAATAAATTAACACATTTTAAGGATAGCATCTATGGGGTAAAATGAGGTAAACCTACATAGTACAAGATTTAAATATCATAGCCCAGTCGGTAAAGAATTGGCCTGCAATGCAGGAGACCTGGGTTTGATTCCTGGGTCGGGAAGATGCTCTGGAGAAGGAAATGGCAACCCACTCCAGTATTCTCACCTAGAGAATCCCAAGGACAGAGGAGCCTGGCAGGCTCCATGGGGTCACAAGGGTTGGACACGACTTAGCAAATAAACCGCCATACTAACATAATGTTACATGTCAAACATATCTCAACAAAAAAGACTTTGTACTTTAAGTTTCATACCTTTCCATGAATTTTTGAAAAATGCTGCCTCGAAGACTTTCACAAATTTCTTCTATGTATGGCTGGAAAGGATGGAAAAGAAATTCCACACTGCATCAGTAAGAACACAGTAAAGTGAAAAACACAAGTGGATGAGACCCAGATGTGGTGAGGTTCCCAATTATGTGCTCCCATAATCATCCATAACCTCAGATATGCAGATGACATCACATTTATGGCAGAAAGTGAAGAACCAAAGAGCCTCTTGATGAAAGTGAAAGAGAAGAGTGAAAAAATTGGCTTAAAACTTAACATTCAGAAAACGAAGATCATGGCATCTGGTCCCATCACTTCATGGTAAATAGATGGGGCAACAATGGAAACACTGACAGACTTTATTTTTGGGGCTCTGAGATTACTGCAGATGGTGACTGCAGCCATGCAATTAAGAGACGCTTACTCCTCGGAAGAAAAGTTATGACCAACCTAGACAGCATATTAAAAGGCAGAGACATTACTTTGCCAACAAAGGTTCGTCTAGTCAAAGCTATGGTTTTTCCAGTAGTCGTGTATGGATGTGACAGTTGGACTATAAAGAAAGCTGAGTGCCAAAGAATTGATGCTTTTGAACTGTGATGCTGGAGAAGACTCTTGAGAGTCCCTTGGACAGCTAGGATATCCAACCAGTTCATCCTAAGGGAAATCAGTTCTGAATATTCATTGGAAGGACTGATGTTGAAGCTGAAACTCCAATATTTTGGCCACCTGATGCAAAGAACTGACTCATCTGAAAAGACCCTGATGCTGGGAAAGATTGAAGGTGGGAGGAGAAGGGGACGACGGAGGATGAGATGGTTGGATGGCATCACCCACTCAACGGACAGGAGTTTGAGTAAACTCCGAGAGTTAGTGATGGACAGGGAGGCCTGGCGTGCAATAGACCATGGGGTCCCAAAGAGTCAGGCGCGACTGAATGACCGAGCTGAACTGAACTGACAGCACCTTGTGCTCGCCCTCCTCAGCGCCTGTCCAGTTTGCACCGATGGATTCATGGGCATGACTACTTGCTTAGCAGTCATCTACACCACTCACTGGCGTGTTCCCTGAAGGCAAGGACAGGGCTGTCCCGGGTGCCACTGCGTCTCTACTGTCTGGCACAGCTCACGGCAAGTCAGACATGCCTTCAATGCCTGGAATGAGCTTCATGGGCATGTGACACATGCAGCCCCACAGAAGAACCCAGTCCTCGGTATGGTACCCTACTGTGGCCATCCTGAAATTCCTGAACAAGGACCCCCACGTTTACACTGTGTACTGAGCCCTGTACATTATGTAGTGGCAGTCTGTAAATTACAATTAATTATATCATTGCCATTAATTACAATTATCATAAATTACCAGCATTAATATTGAGTTTCAAAGACTAAAAGTGAAGGAACCCATGGAGTAAAACTTTTTTTTAGTTAGCTATTTGCAAGGTCTTTGAGCAAGTTCATGGCTAAGTCAAGATTAAGGCCAGGACTCCTGGTTCACATGTGTGGGGCTCTTTCCCTATGGAGAACAATCTGCTTCAATTTCATGCCACTTTACACATTACCAAATAAACCAGATAAGTTTATTTCCCATGGGGTAGTCTTGAAATCAAGAGTGATAAAAATATCAAATGCCAACACTTCATAACTCAGCCTGGGGCAATTAGCTAGTTCTGGAAAATATCATGATACCCTACTCTCTTCTTTAATGATGGAAATTTAATGTTTTCTGTGTCTTTCTAGATTATCTCAAAAATGTGCAAAAAAGAAGGACCAGACGTCAGGAGATGTCCAAGGCAAGCCACAGTCACCAACATGGGCAGTGAGACCACTGCAGCTCACCTGGGAGCTTCACTTCCTACCATGAAGCTAAGCTAGCCTCCACCACTTGGCAGGGCTATCAATGTCCTGGGCAGGGCACTGGGCATAGTTCACTAAAACCAAATGGACTTGCTCTCTCCTTAGTAACAGGGGAAGCTGACCTCTCTCTCTCTGAAGCTTTTTGCAGCTCCAAAGTCCTATGTGTCTATAATGAAAGATAATAGTCATCTTTGCCAAGTCTTCTAGATGTTAAACACCAAGGCCACAAGTCTCAAGAGGTTCAAAAGATATTAAGTGTGCAAAGATGTATGAAAGACTAAATTTGTAGAAATTTAGAAAACAGATTTTCTATTTACAGAAACTCTTATGTTAACATTTTTTTTCATATTTTATAAAATATCCTGTACCAGAAATTCTTAAGACCAGATATGATATACCACACTGTCGCTTTCAACATGAAGGACCACAAAATGTGTCAGATGAGCAATGCAGAAACCAAAGTTCAATAGTGGGGTCATGAGCAAATGACCTCACTGCTCTGATTCTTGGTTTCCTCAATCTGTAAGATGGGAGAGTTACATCTAATCTTCAAGGCCGTTGTGAGGATTTAATAAGATTCAGAACACTAAGACTCCCCTGGTGGCTCAGACGGTCAAGAATCCGCTTGCAATGTGGGAGAGCTGGGATGGATCCCTGGGTTGGGAAGATCCCCTGGAGGAGGGCATGGCAATCGACTCCAGGATTCTTGCCTGGAGAATCCCCATGGACAGAGGAGCCTGGCGGTCTACAGTCCGTGGGGTTGCAAAGAGTCAGACACGACTGAACGACTAAGCACAGAACACTGAGAGTCAAACATGGGGCTTGGCACATTCCAGGAGTGTAATGTAAGCCAGGACTCCTCCAAACTCTTGCCACCAAATGTACCTATGCAATTAATTATTTCTAAAGTCAATATTTCAAACAAAAAGAATAAAAATCATTTTGTATTTATTTTCAGAGCATTTTTTTAACTACCTTGTTCTTGACAAGAAATTTCACCTCAGGCATCATACTTCCCGATGTTTAAATATATGATAAACCTATAGCAATCAAAATAGTATGAAACGGACATAAAAACAGGCCTTATGGATCAATGGAACAGAAAAGAGTTCAGAAATAAATCCACACACCTACAGTCACCTGATCTTTGACAAGGGCATCAAGTATTCAGTGGGGAAATGACAGTCACTTCAATAAATGGAAGATGAGACTGGACCCTTACCTCACACCATGTACAAAAATCAACTCAAGATGTATGAAAGACTTAAATGTAAGACCTGCAATCATACAACTAGAAGAAAACATGGGGAAAAGCTTCTTGACACTGGTTTGGGTGATGATTTTTTGGATATGACATCAAAAGCTCTGGCAACAAAAGCAAAAACAGACAAGTGGGATTGCATGAGACTAAACAGCTTCTGCAGAACAAAGGAAACAATTAACAGAGTGAATAGGCAACCTGTAGAATGAAAGAAGCTATTGGTAAACTATATGATATGAGGTTAATATTCAAAACATATGAGGAACTCAACTCGACAGCAAAAGCCCAAATAACCCAATTCAAAATTGGGCTGAAGACCTGAATAGACATTTTTCAAAAGAGATAATAAATGGCCAACAGGCACATGAAAAGGTGCTCAGCATCACTAATCATCAAGGAAATGCAAATCAAAACCGCAGAGAGGTATCATCTCACATCTGTCAGGATGACTGTTATCAGAAAGCCAAGAGGTACATGTTGGTGAGGATACAGAGAAAAGGGAATCCTTGTGCACTGTTGGTGGGAATGCAGACTGGGACAGCCATTATAGAAAACAGTATAAAGATTCCTTCTGGTATATATCCAAAGGAAATTAAATCAGTATCTTGAAGAGATACCTGCATGCCCATGTTCACTGCAGCATTACTTCACAAGAGTAAAGATAACAGAGATAACCCAAGTGTACGTCAATGGATGAATGGATAAAGAAAATGGGGAATGGAGATACACATGTATAGATACATATATACGTGTACACACACACACACAAAATGGTATACTCCATTCTGTTCTTTAAAAAGAAGGAAATCCTTACATTTACACCACAACAGGTGAATCTGGAGAACATTATGCTAAGTGAAACAAGCCAGACACAGAAAGACAATTACAAGCTGATCTCTCCTGTATGTGGAATCTAAAAAAAGTCTAACTTATAAAAGCAGAGTAGCAGGTTGGTTGCCAAGGGTTAGAAAGTGGGGAAAATGGGGAGATGTTGCTTAAAGGGTACAAAGTTTCAGTTCTGCAGGATAAATAAGTCTTGGAGAGCTAAAGTCAGTATGGGGACTACAGTTAATAGTACTGTATTGTACACTTGAAATTTGCTAAGAAAGTTGATCTTAAGTGTTCTCACCACACATGCATACACAAATATAACTACATGAGGTGATGAGTATGCTGATTAGTTAGATTACAACAATCATTTCACAATGAATACACATATCAAAACATCACACTGTATACTTTCAATTATACATAATTTTTATTTGTCAATTACAACTCATTTAAAGCCAGGGGGGGAAATTCCAACTCAAAGAATATCTAGTAACTTTAATGTTAGTTAAATGTTATAGAGATCAATGTCCCTCTATAAACAGGGTATCCAAACACATAACTTCTATTTTATACTTTGACCACTATGTTCTAATGGTACGTATTATACTGAATTGCACTAAAATGCTTTCTTATTTAAACCAACATGACTATTTCCTTCACCACTGAAATAAAAATACCAGATATTCTATATCTGTTTTATCAGAACATTACTCAGTTATTTCTTATGAACAAATCAGTAAGGTGCTTTTAAAAGATATATTGGAGACATGGCTTCTAAATCAATGTTTCTTGAAGCCACAGAGTTAATTTTGTTGGTCTTTGTATCTCTCATCTGGAACTATCTTTTTAAATGTTATTTATGCTACAGGAAAAGTTAACATCAGAGTTGTAAAATCTATGTATATAATTTAGCAATATTAAATGTAACTGACTACACAACTACCTCTGAACCATGTCAAAGTCAGAAAACTGAAATTCTGACATGAAAATTTCACAGAGGTAACAAAAGGCAGGTACTCAAATTGCACTTTCTGACTGTGAGGTGTTAGAGAAGATTGACATTTATGGAGTGCTGTGATAGGCAGGCCTGGTACAAAGCAGCTCATATGCACTGGGTCCTCAAAACCCCATTCACGGAGCAGTCTGCTGGCGTTTCTACTCCACAGAGGGAAAACCAGAAGTGCAGAGAGGTATGGTGCCTTGCCCAGGGTCTTGAAACTCAGGTCACTGAATTCAGAACCCAAGCTTATAACCAACTAGACTATACTAAAAGGTCTGACGTTTTAAGAGACGTCCATCTAATCATTTTGGCAGAAAGGCAGCAGCTGGTTTGGTTACTGTACCCAAATGTTCTCAGAGTCAAACCAGTATCTTTTCCATAGAATAATCAGATTCATTTTGTATATAAATAAACCCAACCATAAGGCACTAAGGCAAAAATCAACTTATTTCTCTTCAAATGACTGAATAATCCAAGAAAACAATAAACTAGTTATTTTCATTTATGAAAACCATTACCTTAATAAATGGCATTCTTTCCTATTTCTTATAACTCCCAGAAACATAAAAAGTACATGATCCACTTGGAAATTTGACCATACCCTTGCAAGCTGCCATCTCTATAGAAATCCCACGGGATAACAAAAAAGGCTTTCACAAAGAAAACCACTGCATCTGAAGAGCAGCCAAGACATGGGCCCATCAGTTGTGGATTGAGTTTTCTGAGCCTTATAATTTAAATCTATGATTGTGTTGTGTTCAAGATAAGAGGAGCTGAGGCAAAATCCAATTTCTCAGTCACGACTCCAAGGCCATTCATTCCCTCTTGATTGCTGAAAATGAATCTGTTTCTTCTGGGGAAGGATCGCCATGGGGACCAACACCTGTACCACTGAAAAGTAAATCTTGCCCAGTCCCTGCTCATCACAGGTGTCTGGGATGTCAAACAGGAAAAGGCTTTTCCCTCCAATGTCTCCTCTTGATTGATTTATAGGAAAAAAAACACTAAAAGAATGCTCTAGCAGCCTTTTTCAGGACAGCCTTTGTGATGCTGGCATAAGAGCACGTTTCAATGAGAAGACAGGTGATATTAAACTTTGGTTCCTCCAGATAAACCTCTAGGTAAGAAATACAGTCTCCGAAATTCCGCCAGCACTTTCACCCAAGCAAAGAAAGCACCCAAATACAACTATTAAGTGAATTAGAAACATTTATTTGGAGAGCATTTTACCTTACCTGAAAAAGAGTTGATGTCACTTGTTTCTTGGATAGATGACTTTGTACATGTTCTACTGCTTGCTTTGAGAATGGCTTTAAAAAAAACACAATGTTTTCTTTTTCTTTTTCCCCCACAAATATAAAACAAAGCAAACCTCTGTATATCTTACAGTGTCACAACATATAATTTAACACAACAGTTACTAAGCAGTAAGCTATGGTGATCACATCAACATGCATTCTTAAAAAAAAAAAAATTTGCTATATGTTTGCGGGCAAGCCAAACAGATGATTGTTCCTCAGAGCTTCCAGAGTTCTTAGAAACTATGTCAAGAAGGGTGATACACATGGGGGCATCTAACTGAAATGTCTATGCCCACAAGAGATCAAGGCTACTTTGACTTAAAAAGGGTGTAAGGAATCGTATTATCATCGTATTAATATTAAATGCATCATCTCTCAGTTGGCTGATACTGGGGTCCTAAAAGCATAAAATTTCTATGTCATGAGAGAACATGAATGCACAAAGATATACCTAAGAATTAAATGCCAGGATCACAAAGCTAAACCACAGTGTTGGAAAGACTCTAGGTTAAGGAAAGGCTTGCTGTAACCACTGCAAAGAGGCACTGGTTCTAAAAGAATGAAACTCACACTGACAAAAATTAGAAACCCTGTCCTCCCCCTAAACTTCAAATTATATCTGAAGTAATGCACAAGAAGAAGAGCTTAAAAAAGCATATCACTCTGCTAAAAACTGTCTAAACTGCTGCCCTACATGAAAGCTACGTCTACAGAGGCTTTCTTAAGTGAATATGTGGCATTTTCCAAGGTCCAGCTATCCCCAGCAAGGCAGCGAGGCACAGAGCCTTACGGTAAGCTCTAGCTCAGAAGTTCAGTAAGCACTGCAGACAACACAATAAATACAGAAGCACGAAAGTGTATCATTGTCGTGACCAGTGCTGTCCAATCAGACTTGCTGCAATGATGGAAATGCTGTGAATCTGGGCTGATGCCACCAGCCACATGTGAGTACTGCACATTTCAAATGCGGTTCAGGAGGACGTCAGGAATTAAAATTTTAGTTCCATTTGATTGTAATTAATATAAATATACTTCCCTGGTGGCTCAGTGGTAAAGAACCCACCTGCCTATGCAGGAGATGCAGGTTTGATCCCTAGGTCGGGAAGACCCCTTGGAGAAGGGGATGGCAACCCACTCCAGTATTCTTGCCTGGGAAATCCATAGACAGAGGAGCCTGATGGACTATAGTCCAGGGGTCGAAAAGAGTTGGACACGACTTAAGAGACTAAACAACAACAAGTGTAAACACAATTAAATACTCGCACAGGGCCAGTGGCTACTGCACTGGACACAGCAGTCCAGGGCTCTTAGGACACTTCTTCGAAAAACAGTTTTCATGTAGAGAGACTAGAGTGTACGTTTTCATTATTAACTATTCTACTCACTTCTGGTGGAAGAATTTCCTAGGAACTTCGTTTATCCTAATGACTGAATAAGACTGTTTCTCTGATTTACAAGCAAAAAAAAAAGATTTCAACCATCATTCAACTATTAGTGAACTATATTAACAAAATAATTACAATCAACCTTATTAATTCAAAGAAAGCATTTAAGATAGTTATCGATCAATATTTGACTAGCCTAATTGTTAAAGGAGAGCTAAATGAAAAACAATAAAGCTTAATTTCTTAGAGAGTCAAGAACTGAGCTTAGCCTTTTCTTGCATTGATCTGCATTAGCCATTTTATCAACATCTGTACTGAAAGTATCCAAACCTTATTAAAAGTACATGGAGCAGCAGATATTGGATCAGTATTACCAGGAAACAAATGACAAAACTTGAGAAACATGGGTTCCATCCTGGATGAATACCTTTAAACCCGTCCTCCTATTTTAACTTTTATTCTAAAAACATGTGAAGCCTGTCTCATTTACTCATACTGAATTAATAAAATAAGCAGAGGTACTTACATGTGAACAAGACAGCAGCTCCTTCATAATGTAAGTGTCATAAATTTGTCGACTTCTACAAAGGCGATCTTCCTCATTCTCAAGCTTTTCATATTCTTTTATCTAGACAGTTAAAAGTTATGATTGTTAGGTACTGTCTTCCTAGAAACTTACTTTATTAAAGGATATTACTCGTCTTGGCAGAAACCACTTCCACATGAGATCAAGCAAATTACTTGAATTGGCCAGTGCACAGGAAACAACTACTTCTAATGTTGAAATAATGAAGCTGGAATAATTTAAATTCAACTTGGGACATACGAATGGATTTTTTCCTAAGATGAACCTCGTTGCTTAAATTTAGAAACACAATATTAGGAAACAAACACTGCCATGGTTACAATTATCTTATGATATAGCAGCCATGGACCATTCATTCTTGCCAATTCTCCTTTCCAAAGCACAAATAATTTGAACTTGGCAGTAATCCATTTCTATGAGTTATGATGGGGATCATTTTCACTTGACTACAGTATTACAAAACTCAGGAGGAAAAAATGATAATGAATTGTCAGGATTCCTGCAGAGATTTTTAAAAGTCAACTAAATCTTTTGGAAAGACATTCATCATAGATAAAAGCACTGGTTTTTCACATTGGAACCGTCTCTGCACTCTAAAAGTATTAACAGAAAGGTTCCTTCAAATAGTAACCTGACGGGTGTTAAGATAGACTAAATAATAAAATAGGCTTAGCAAACACGCTTTGTGAGAACATGGTCTCTATTACTTTAACCTCATAAGTTCTCAGATCAGAGAAGTGTTTTTACTCCTTTACAGAAATACGTTAAATCTAAAAGACATTAAAAAAGAATACATTTGAATCAGTTCTAATGAGGTGGATGAAACTGGAGCCTATTATACAGAGTGAAGTAAGCCAGAGAGAAAAACACCAATACAGTATACTAATGTATATATATGGAATTTAGAAAGATGGTAATGATAACCCTGTATGCGAGACAGCAAAAGAGACACAGATGTACTGAACAGTCTTTTGGACTCTGTGGGAGAGGGCGAGGGTGGGATGATATGGGAGAATGGCATATTGACACATGTAAATTATCATATGTGAAATGAATTGCCAGTACAGGTTTGATGCATGATACAAGGTGCTCAGGGCCAGTGCACTGGGATGACCCAGAGGGATGGGATGGGGAGGGAGGTGGAAGGGGGGTTCAGGATGGGGAACACATGTACACCCGTGGTGGATTCAAGTCAATGTATGGCAAAACCAATACAATGCTGTAAAGTAAAATAAATTAATTAATTAATTTTTAAAAATCTAAAAGACAAGAAGAGAATGAAAACAAATGAAATATGGAGTTGATAGGAAGATTGCAGTGAAGATTTTCAATATAATGACTAATAACTACATAGGACTTATTTCTGAAAAAACAGAAAATTTTCCTACCAAGTAGCCAGTTATACTTTCATAATATCTGAGCACTTTTTATTCTGCTATGATTCTGACCACTCCTAGAGGTGAGAATACAAACTGAATGGAAATAAAAGCTACCTTTTTACTGTATAGTCTCAGCTTGATAAGGTTTCCCTGATAGTTCAGTTGGTAAAGAATCCGCCTGCAATGCGGGACACCTGGGTTGGGAAGATCCCCTGGAGAAGGAAAAGGTTACCCACTCCAGTATCCTGGCCTGGAGAATTCCAAGGACTGTATAGTACATGGGGTTGCAAAGAGTTGGATACGACTGAGTGACTTTCACTCAGTTTGACAAGTTTTGAAATCAAAACCAGTAAATCCTGTGAGAATTTCTGATAATGAAAGGGCATGGTTGGCAGGGAGAAGAGTATGCACAGAGCATGAAGCATATACAGTATGTGTATGAAGGCTAACTGCTTCACACACTGAGAAATTACTGGGATCATCTTAATTGTCCTTAAATATCAATGAGATGGCTGAAATTCACAAGTCTGTAACTGCCTGGGCTTAGAATGAAGTCTTCTTGGGGCAGACACTGAAATTGAACATAAAGGCAGAAGGCCTAGGGGAGGTTGATACTCCATCCAAGAAGAAAACACTTAAAAAAATTTTTTTTAATTCTTTACTTTAAAAAAAAAATTTATTGAAATATAGTTGGTTTACCTTGTCATGTTAGTTTCAGATGTACAACAAAGTGACTCAGTTTATATATATATATATATATATATATATATATATATATGTATGTATATATCTACATATACATATACATACACATACATATATTCTTTTTACATTCTCTCCATAATAAATTATTATAACCTATTGAGTAGAGTTCCCTGCGCCACACAGCAGGTCCTTGCTGGTTACCCATTTTATATGCAATAATGTGCACATTTCAACCCCAAACTCCTAACTGACCCCTCTCCCCCGCTTTGGTAACCAGAGCTTGTTTTTGTGTCTGTGGGTCTACTTCCGTTTTGAAAATAAGTTCATTTGTATCATTTGCTTTTAGATTCCACATATAAGTGGTGTCATATGATATCTGTCTTTCTCAGTCTGGCTTACTTCACTTTAGTATGACCATCTCCTAGGTCCATCCATGTTGCTGCAAATGGCATTATTTTCTTCTTTTCGTGACTGAGTAATATTTCATTGTATATACAGACCACCTCTTCTTTATCCATTCATCTGTCGATAGACTAGGTTGCTTCCATGTCTTCGCTATTATAAACAATTCTGCTGTGAACATCGGGGTATATGGATCTTTTCAAATTATGTTTTTCTCCAGAAGGAAGACACTTTTTAATGAAGAAGCAATCCAGCAGTGTTGGCACAACCGGAGGACCTGGGCTTAATCATCCTAAGTTAACTCAGGAGAACATGTCTACAAGGTTCAAACACCATCCCAGCCACAAATATGACAGCTGCAAGAAAACAGAAGCTAGACACCGAAATCTGAAGGAGAGCCAGAAAATAAACAAAGGACTCTGGCTTGGCTGATTTCTTTTGTTGTTTTGTCAGATTTTAGTAAGATCCAAAAATTAATGTCAGAATGCTAGGATAAAAGAGGTGGACTATCAGTGAACCAAAGGCAAATGTTTCTGCCTAAACATACAAATAAACTCTAGGAATACTAAACCTGCATGGAATTATTACCCTCAAACACAAGTGTAAGGAAACCTAAATCTATGTTCTGGGGCCTGTAAAGCAAGCTGATACCTGAGTCAACGGGAGTTTTCTATGAACTGTAAGAGACTGACTATACAGAAAATCCTAGTTTCTTGTGCAAACCATGCCCTGAACCATAGTTCTGGCTCTAGTGAGTGCCTTGTGCTCCACAAACTCTGACTTGAACAACAGCAAAGGTTAATTCTTAGTAGGCAAAGCAAGAGCTTAGCATCTGGGGCTGTAATTCAAAATTCACTTTCTATTATCAGTCAGACCACTAATTGAAGAACATGCAGTCAACCATCAATTAGCTCTGGACAGGATGCCCTGACCGTGGTACACACAGAGAAAGCGTCACCCCTAACTCTGGAGGGCGGGTTGCCCAGGGAATGGAGCAGGCGGAGGCCCAGGTTCAAGGTGAAAGGCCGCCGCTAGAGCAGAACAGAAGCATCACCACCAGCGACGAACACTCACTGGCTGTGTGGCCCCTCTTTCCGTTTTGGTGGTTACAGAGCTCACAGCTCAGCATGCAGCCTGAACACAGAACCCTAAGAGCAAGCCCCTTTGGCCCGCAGCTGTCACAGGCCCCCTCTTCTTGTCTCCCATCTGTCCCACTGCCGTTCCAGCCTGGTAAAGTCACAGTGGCCTCCGCCTTGCCCAGTCAAGGGCCTCTCTTCTGTCCTCAGCTCCCTGACACCCCAGCAGCGTTCGGCTCAGGGCTGCACTCCTGCCTCGTCTGAGCTCTGGGGCCTCCCCTGACTTCTGGGGTCTGTACTCCCCAAGAGGTTGCCCCCCTGGCTCCTCTTCTTCAGTCTCCTTTGGTAAGTCTTCCTCTTCTGCTAGACTTCTAAATACTGAAGTGCATGGTGCTAAGAAACCCCTTTTTCATCCACTATATTCTCCTTGGATAAAGCTATTCAGTCGCACAGTTTCAAACACCAATTCTATTCCAATGACTAAGTCTGGGTTTTCAGGACTCACTTCTCTCTCAGAGCTCCAGAGTCTGGATACTGAGCCACCTATTGGATATTTCCACATCCTCTCTACTCCAGCCAATCATGCCCTTTCCCTAGTCTTCTTAATCACAAAAATGAGTAAAACCATTCTCCCAGCTGCTTATGGAGAAGGAAATGGCAACCCACTCCAGTGTTCTTGCCTGGAGAATCCCGCGGACAGAGGAGCCTTGCAGGCTACAGTCCATGGGGTCTCAAGAGTCGGACACAACTTAGCGACTAAACCACCACCACCACCACCCAGCTGCTTAAGCCAAACAAGAAATAATCATCACTGATTTTGCTTTTTTGCTCACTTTGTCCCCATGATCCCCTACATTCAATTCATTAGCCAATCACACCGGTTTGATATTCAAAATGTATCACAAACCCAGGCCCTGATTCAGGTCAACCAATTTCTAACAGAACAATTCTGGACAGCTGTAAAACCCAACTACACTGGACCACTGAAGAGTGACCAAAAGTACACAGATTAAGGGGAAAGGGCATCAAACAGAAGCCAGAAAGAAAGAGAGGATATTCCTGAAAATAAAGAGTCAGAGGAGAGCTCCAAAATTCTGCATATAAAATCTCAAAATCTCTGGTGGACTGCATAATGATATGTGAGCATGACAGACCCAAATTAGTCCAGCAAAGGTTAAAAAAATTGAACAAGATTAAATTGCTACCCACTGCATGAGAAGACAGCATCAAGTCTGAGTAAGTCAAATTAACTCCTGAGACAATACCCTACAGAGAAGCAGTTTAGAGAACCCACAATACAAATGTACAAGATACAATCTAAAACTGTTCTATGTTTGAAGAAACAAAGAAATGTGGGTCATACACAAGAGAACAGATCATCAGTGAGGACCTATCCAAGGTGATTCAGAGACAGGAATTACCAGAAAAGGATTTTAAAGCCGCCGTTATAACTATACTAAAAGATGCACAGAAAATATAC